ACAGAATTGTTTGTTGGGCTGCCTGATACCACGGGCTCCTCACTTTACTCCTCAAGGTGAGGGAGCTTGGCACCTCCAAAGCATTCCCCACCTACCCCCAGCACAGGGACTGCAGTGTAGCCCTGAGCCAGGAAGAAAGTAGGAGACATTGTATAGCCCAGAGCACTGTCAGGCTGGTGACAGCCAGTGGCCCAACCACCACTGCCTTGAGTGACCAAGCAACCCTGTGTCCTTTTTATCCGTGCAGACTAGGCCCTCGTTCCCTGACTGTTTTCCAGTCTTGTGGAGCTGGGACTCACGATTCAAGGAGTGTGTGGGAACATACAGGGGGGCCCATGACTGCTGCGGCTCTGACTTGCACCTCTGCTGTTGGCATGGGACTGCTTATTCATGGCTGCCCAGATCTGTAAAGAATCAGAGAAGACGGGAACTCAGCTGTTACCCATGTGCCTCGGGGTACCCTGGCTGTCTGTCACCCACCGATTTGGATCCACGGAGGCCACCGACCCCCGGCCTCAAATCCAAGGCAGCCGTTCCCTCCATCTCCCTGCCAGCCCATGGGGCATCCACAGGGCAGTGTGCCTCGATGTAGGCAGGTACCTGGACCACCTCAAGAACTGAGTTGGGTCACCTTATGTACTGAAGAGCGTAAGGAGCACAGACCCCCTCAGCGAGGTCCACCATGCTGTTACTGCATTGTTTGACCTGAGATGCCAAACTCTTGAAGACAGAGATGCCTCTTAAGGCGTCTACAGCCCCACAGGATCCAGCGTCCTTGCAAGTCCCTCTCGAGGTGTCCTGAGCTCCAGGTGTTGCTGCATTGCCAGTTCAGTTGTCCACCTGCTTTACAGGGGGCCATCTTGTGTGAGGGCTGAAGAGCAGGGCAGGGCAGTGGCCCTAGGGATGTGGGAATTGATCTGGCCCCCTAGGCATAGCCACACTTCTTGAAGAACCATGTGGTTCCACTGTGGCTGCAGGCACTCACCGTGCCGTGGAAGTCCCCAAGCCCAGTTGCCTGTACAAAACAGTCCACAGCAATGACTTGACCCAGGGCTGGTGTCAGTTCCAATCCTGGCTGCCCCACCCACAGGCTGTAAGCCCTGGTGAGACCCCAAGGAGCCCTGAGGTCAACAGCACTGCCTCCAGGACATCTGTGATTTGTATTCTCACCTGCTCACCTTCCCGCAAGGAAAACAGCTTAACCCTCTGTCCAGCTGCCTGGAACCACAAATCAGGACCTGGAGAATGCAGGCCTGGGCAGATGCATGCAGAGAGGACAGTGTGGCCTGGACTCTGCAGCACACAATGTGTGGCTTTGGAACAGTCACTTCTTGGGCCTCCATTTTCCCTCTGTGAGTGGTTATCACAGTACCTGTGAGAGGCTGTGAAGGCTAGAGGTTCAGCAGGAGAGAGCACGGCTGAGGCCATGGAATTTGGAGAACCAGAGAAGAGGAGCAGCTCCAAACATCCCAGATTTCAGGGAGATCTGGACCTGCCAGGAGCTGTGTTGGGTGGACCAGTCCTGCCATCAGTATTCACGGGCTTGGTGGGAAGCCAAAGCTGCCTCCTAATGCATTCCCAGCACCCTAAATCCACTAGTGGAACCCTGAGCCTGGCCGGCCCCTGCTCAGGCTGTTTATAGTGAGGATGTATACCTGCAGGGCTGTGAAGCCGCCCAAGCCCCACAATGAGCCTTGGAGGCCAAGAGCAGCCTTTATTGGATACAGGGCCTCAAGGGGACCAAGACAGGAAGATTCAGCCTTGGGGGCACAAGCTCACCAGTCTGGTGCCTACCATTGACTGCTGTGAGCTGCTGGGGTCTGGGAGCCATCCCAAGCTCTGTAGAATAGGGAGCTACTAATTAATGAAAATTAGTAGCTGGGTCTGGGGCTGTAGCTCAGTTGGTAGAGCACTTCATGTAGCATGCATGAAGCCCAGAGTTTGATCCCCAGTGCATAAACTGATCATGGTGGTGAGTACCTAAGCGTGAGTGTCTGAATCAAGGTCATCCTCAACTACACAGTAAGTCTCAAGATAAATAACAATAAAGAAAAGATTTAACAGCTGTTGGGGCTGGAGAGATGGCTCCATGGTTAAAAGCACTGACTGCCATTACAGAGGACCCGGGTTCAATTCCCAGCACCCACATGGTGACTAACAACTGTCCTTAACTCCACTTGCAGGGTATCTGATGCCTTCTGACCTCCACGGGCATTGCATGACATGGGTGCACTTACACGCATGCAGGCAATACACTCGTACACATAAAATAAAAATAAATTTAAAAAATTTTTTTTAAAAAAGAACACCATTACAGATGCCAGAAAGTTTCCTCGTGCTTTCTGACTGTCTGATTGTGGCAGTCAAGATTGACTAGAGGCACACAGAGGGAAAAAGAATTAACAGCTGTGGTATAGGCCCTAGAAGGTGCATTCTGTCCACCTCCTTTGACCCACCACACCTCAGGGAAGTAGGCGGTTTGCATGCTCTCTGAGCCCCCTAAGGGCAGCCTGCCCCTCCCACTTGCCCCAGACCAACTCTCAGCCACCCGCCCCAGTGTTGCCCTCCACTCCCTCTCCCTGCAGATCCTGAGTGGGGTGCCCCAGATAAACGCTTCCTTGTGGTACTTACCACAGTGAGTTCCCCTCTGAGTCACCACCTTCTAGGATCCCAGTAACACATGGAAACCTTGCAAATGGGTCAACCAGGGAACAAGAGGTCTGCAATTGTACACAGCCCAGAGGCTCTACCAGGAAGGGATGAGCTGGAGAAGGTTCCCAGGGCGTGCTGAGAGACAGGCATTTTAAGGTTGCTAGAGGAAAGGCATGGAAAGGGAGTGAGGGCAGAGCATGCCAGGGCAGCAACCATAGAGCTGGAGGCGGCTGACAGCACAGGAGACTGGGTGCCTACGGACGCACACGGACTTCAGAGCCCAGCAGCCACGTGCGTGCTGCGAACCTTGAGCACACTATGGCGTCGCTCTGTATCCGGCTGACCCTTTGCAGTGGTCTTTGTGCGGCTTCAGCATCACAGGACTTTTGTGAGGACAAATGAGATCTGTGAAGTGCTGGGAACGGAGTCTGTGTGCAGTGAGCATTTTGGGCTCAGATAGATGGCCTCAGCCACTCCAATTCATGTCCTACAAAAAAACAAATGGAAATTACTGTCCACGTAGGTCACTGGGTACCAGCAGGGTGCCTGCCAACTACATGGGCATGTTGGTGGTGGCCAGTAAGCATTTGCTGGGGGATGGCTGTGGTGGTTGCTGCAACATGTTACTATGGCCCATGGTACTAGTTGGTCTGCCAGTGGCCCAGCACTAAACAAATGTGCTGAGAGGTGGCAACCAGTGCCAGCCCAGCTGCCCATAGTACAACTCTGCTCTACTGTTCAGTTCCTAAGAGTCGGGTGAAGCCACTTCCCCTCTGGGAAGGGCTTCAGGGACATAAGGTGTCCCCAGTGCCCTGGGCTTATGATCTGGGCCAGCCTGGCACTTGAATCACTTGGCTTTGCCTGTGCCCTCCCAGGCGGCCCCATCTGCCCCAGGGCCCAAGGGCAGCCTGGACAGGTGAAGGGCTGAAGGGCTGGTAAGGACGGGCTGCTCCCCATTGGGGCAGCCGGCCACGGTTGCCTTCTTTGGTTGTTGTCACCAGAGACTGGCCACCAGCCCTGCAGCCAGGCATGGTGTTGATGGGTCCCCACAGCTGCGGCCACACATGTGCCCAGCCATCAGCCTTCAGACAGTTGGGGGAGGAGAGGGGCTGGGCACTGTCGGGAGGGGAGCCAGAGGCCGCAGCTGGGGGACAGCAGGTGCCGCAGCCTGGGTGGCTGCTGTGTGCCATCTGCTCCCACTCTGCCCTTCTCGTGGGCCCAGCGGGATGGGGGCTTCCTGCCTCTTCCCTGTAGGCTCTGACACCAGCCAGCATGGGCTGCTGGGCCCATCCTCACAGTGTTTGAGCTTCTTTCTCCTCTGTAGCCCAGGGAGGGGGTTAAGTGGGGGCTGTACTGTATCTGGCCTGCCGTCTGGTAGATGTCACTTACTGATCACCAGCCACGGAGGCTGAGTGACCTAGACCTGCATGTGTCTCTGTGTCTGCAGATGATGAGGCCCTGAAGTGGGAAGCAGGGTAGGAAAGGCCAAGGGGTACTGCCTACAAACAATTGGATTGTCTGTAATGATGACAGACAAGCTATCAGAGACCCCAGGCTTTGTGACTCAAGCTCCTTCATCTCACCAGCCCATGGATGTGAGCAGCAAGTGTGGCAGTCCCCGGGGCAGAGAGGCCCCCAGGGCTTACCCATTCCCCTAGGCAAGGCATGCCTTTAGCCCCTTGGACCTAGGCTGATCCACATGTCTTTGTTTCAAGGTCCTGCTCTGGAGGCCGTGAGTGCCCAGGATCCACCCATTCTTAGTCCTCCCTGACCATCATCATTTTCTCCCCTCTCTGCACTAATCTGACCCTGAGCTGAGCACCTTGAGGAGAATCAGGTCACTGGGACCTAGTTGAGTCTGAATGTCTGGGCCTATAAGGATACTTTTCAAGACCCAGGCCTGGGATATTCTGACAGTCCATAGGGGTCATGAGGATGACAGAACAGGAGATGGTTAAACAGTAGTTTCACACCCAAAGGCCAACTCCCCCTTCACCCTAAACAGGTCCCAGAGGAGCATCTCAGCATCTGAAAGTTTAGGGCGGCATCCCAATACACATCCTGTAAATGCAGATAGGATAGATCAGGAGTATTGGGATAGGAGGTCTGAGCATGGAAACCTGTCCACCCCCACGGCAGTCCTGACCAGCCCACCTGAAATGGATTGGCCTAAGCTCACCTTTGGCTCTTAGCTTCACGTGCGCATGGATACCAGCCACCTGTGAGAGCACTGGGGCTCCCGTGGAATGGCTGGATCCAGGAGCCCACCTGGCCATGGAAACTCAAACCCCCACCCATGTGCCAGCCCAGCTCTGCCCCAGCTGCTTCATCTCTTTCTCTTTCCCTAGCCGACCGGAAGTCGAAGGCCGCAGCGATGCCAGACTCTCCAGCTGAGGTGAAAACGCAGCCCCGGTCCACGCCCCCCAGCATGCCACCCCCACCACCTGCAGCATCCCAGGGAGCCACACGACCACCCTCCTTCACACCTCACACACGTGAGTCCCCCACCCCCATCCCAGAAGCCCAGGGCAGGTGGGTGGAGTTGTTTGAAGTTCTGTATTCTGCATTGAACATCATATGACCCCTTTGCAGCCTACATTTAGGCTCTAGGCTCGGATCCCAGTCCTTCAGCTTTCTGTGTGACGTTGGGTATACTGTTAACTTCTCTGGCCCGGAGCCCTCCTTTGAAGAGTAGGGCCTGCTGTGGTTCCTGCCTCACGGCCATCGTGAAAATAAAATAAATGAACAGACATTGGCATCAGTCTATCACAGACGCAAATGTCTGAAGGCCCCAAGTACTCACGTTCGCCTCAACAGCCCGGGGCATGCGGCCCAAGTACACAGCACTCTGGGAGGATTCTGAGGGCCTGAAGCAGGAGTAGCTAACTTTCCTCAATAGTCACTCCTGGAGCCCCCTTTTCTTTGAGAGGTTGTGACTTGGACTTTGGAGTCCTAAGCAGTTGGGAAGAGGGCAACCCCTGAGGTCTGCTGGATCATTGAAAGGGAGACTGTGTCATGCCATGCCCCCAGAGGCTTAGGAGTGTGTCCCAAGTGTTCTAGCTAGGAGAAAGAAGCCATGTGCCACCCCTACCCCACCTTCAAAGACTCATTCTTGAGAGACCCTTCTCGAGATCTCAAACTGAAGTAAGACCCCTCTGAGGGAGGCCTTCGATACCTCAGCCTGGTGACCCCTGGTTCCCAGGGCCTGAGTACTTTCTTGACCTCTCCATCTCTGGACATAGAGCACTGGCTATGCATTTCGAAGAGAAATGTCTGGCTAAGGAGTAGGCAGCCCAACGTGGGGCCAGCCTTGTCCCTGTTGGCGGGGTGCCAGGCTCCTGCTTTGGGGGGTGACATCACCTGTTTCCAGGTGAGCCATCTGAGAACATGCCTGGCACATCCCCTCACATCTCCCACTCTCTCAGGAGGTTCAGGTCTCCACTTCCTACAGTATCAGTCCAGGGTCTGACAGTTGGGGAGACTGGAATAGGGGACCCCTACCTCTTGCAGCTAGGACACTACCCTCAGCAGCCTGCTTCTTCCAGAGGACAGCTGACTGCCACACAGGTCCTGGCTCTGCCTGCTGGCCAGGCTCCTCAGGCCAGAGGTGACTCTGCCTTTTTTTCACACACTTCCTCCCGGTGATACAGCTAGCTCAGTCACCTTTCCCTCCTTGCCTAACTGTCCTCCCCTCTGGGCTGTTCTGGCTGCTCGTGCAGTAGGTGAGAGGGGGCTCTCTGATGTCACTAGCCAATGCCTTAGCCTATGGACAGGAATTGCTTGTGGGGGTCACCTGGGCCCCCACCTCCTCTAGCAATGAGGGCCATGGCAAACCTCCTGAAATGACAGCAACCCAGATGTCCAAAGGCCCCAAGCAGGAAGGAAAAACAGATCAGCTGACAGGCCGATGGCAGGCCCTGAGCTGTCACTGACCCAGAGGGTATGCCTCCCCCCAGCCAGAATTTCCCTGTGGACCAGTTCCTGAAAGCTGGCCTGAGTGCCAGATGTTCCTGGTTAGGAATGGGTTGGGATCAGCTGGGACCTTCAGGACTTTGCTTTCATGAGGCCTGTGAACAGCTGTGAGTGTGGCCGGAGCATATGAGGGAGGGAGGCTATGTCCCTCCTGCCCCCTCAGTCCCACCCAGCCTGAAGGTCATGTTTCAGGGTAGAGGGCTCAGTTCTGTTAATAGACTTTCCTTGACACTTTGGGCCTATGGGTATGCAGATTTGTGTGGGGCTAGTTGGCGTGTCAGCCTGAGGCAGCTTCAGGTGACTTCCTGATTCACGTGGTCAACTGCACCTCTGCACCTGGCTGGCGGCAATTCTGGCAAGGCCTCTGCAACTGGCTGCAGGTTCCTGCCCAGTGCTCCAAGCCAAGTGCAAGAGACTGACGTTGAACCCCTATTCGAGGGCTCTGCTTTCCTGGCCCAGGGAGCACCCTGGGCTCAGATTGCTCTCAGAAGTGAAGCTGCAGCTGGCTGGGGAGATGGGTGGGAGACTGGACAAGAAGCAGAGACCCAGCCTGCCCTCCCCTCAGCCTGGCAGCCCCCAGGTGCTGAGTCTCCATCTGCTCTTGCCCCACCCTGAAACAGGACGCACTACCTGCTCCTGGAGCTGTCACCTGTCTCCACCGCCAACCCCACTGACACAAGCCAGAGCCATCCTGCTGCAACCTGGGCTTCAAATTAGAGATTCCATCCCTGAATTTCAGCCACTGAAAACACACAGCTGGGCTCCAAGCCCCTCAAGGACTGTGCCAAGGGGGTAACCAGGCACCTTCTGGGCAGAGGGCTTTTTAAAAGCTGTGTCCTGCTCTTGCTGACAGATACCCACTACAACCCATTATTTTACAGCGGAAGAGTAGCCTGGCCCCCGGTGGTGACAGCGCAGTCCCCAGGACTGCCATGGAGCAGCAGAGGAGATGGGCCGCCATGGCGCCCTCCTGACAGCATGTTCTTCTTATTTTACTTACAGATGGCGAGGATGGACCTGCGACGTCTCTGCCCCATGGCCGTTTCCACGGCTGCTTAAAGTGGTCCATGGTCTGTCTCTGTAAGTAAAATAACAAGAACTGCGAGCCTCGGAGAGGCAGCCTCAGTCAGTCCCACTGCCTCTATACCCCATTATTGGGTCTCCAGCCTCTCTAAAGATAAGAGGAACCCAGGGAGGCCAGGGCTAGAGGCTGAGGCCTACAGACACTGTGGGGCCTTTGCATGTGAACGCCTCCTGAGCTGCTAGCCCCAGTAGCCAAATGGGCTGCCTAAGGCCGATGCTGGGATTGTGAGGAGGTAGAGGAACATACGTCAACTGCAAGAAAGGCAAGTCCCCAGACCCTACCACTGCAGGGAGACACTGGGCAGGTACGGCTGCCTGTGGCTCAGTCTCCCCTCTATCACAGCATGGAATGCTGAGAGTGATCCATGCAAAGCCATTGCTGCTGCAGTGTCTGACCCACACTGTGTGAGTTGTGGCCACCAGTCACTAGTGGATGGTTCCACCAAAGCTCTGGGCCCATGGCAGATATCCAAGACAGAAGCTCCTGAGAGTTCACAATCCAAGTGCCTGTACCCAGTCATCAGGTGTCACTATGCCTCAGCTCCTCAACTGAACCAGTCAGCTGCACAGCCCAGGTGCGTGCAGCTGCCGAGTAACTCCTGGGCTCTAAGGATGAGGCAGGAAGTCATATGGGTTGACGTCCATGCATTATGCATGCCCTGTGTTGTCCTTCTGCCTGCCATCGCTATATGCAGTGCTTGGCCACGCTAGTGCCTGGCACACAGCCTGACTGGCTGTCTGCCGTCGACTAGTTCCTCCTGTGGTGATAATGGTGCTCCTCTTGTCAGGGAAGGGCATGGCAAGAAGAGCAGTTCATGGGGTTCACATGTCCCAGGCCAACGCCTGTCCAGGCTTCAAGGCTGGGGGGAAGCTGTAGGGGTGCTAGCATGTGCCCCCAAACCTCAGCTGGGGACACGTGTACAGTCTAACTTAGTAACACACCTGTTGTGGTAATGAAAGCACTTGTGCTGGGGGCTATTTTCGGCATCTCTTTAGCAAGCTGCTGAGACTGCCCAGCAGCCACGGGAGGGAGGACAGGCAGGCAGTGAGGCGAGCAGGCCACGGGGGACCCAGGCACCCAGAGCAAGGCTGGTAAGAGGGCCGCAGGGAGGACAGGACCAGGCCAGGTCGGGTCTGGTGGGTGGTGGACCAGACAGTGTGGACATTGGCATGCCTTAGAATCTCCTGGAAGGCTAGAGCCCTGATGACAGAATGCTTGATCTTGAGATACAAGTCCACCGCTGTGGTGAGGTCTCTGTGGCGACCCCTGGCTGAGGTGACAGCAAGGTAGCTGTCAGGTTTGACTGAGGCATGTGTGTTGGTAACTGACAGAGCTCACCAGTGAGAGGGAAATCTGTCCACTGGGGTCCTCTGGACATGGTCTTAGAGGCTGGGAGACCAGAGCTGTCGGTGTGCTGGGTACAGCAGTCAGAGACTGTCCCAGAGCAAGAGGGTCGCTCCCACACAGCACCTTGGGTCTGCTGCTGCTTGTATGTGGCCATTGTGGAGCTGGCTGTGGGTCCTGGGCTTTGGAAGAGGCTCCTGAGGTCACTCGGGGAGACATACAGGCTTCAGCTTCCACGTACCCCCCCCAACGAGATAAGAATTGTGTGTAGAGGGGTTCCGTGCCCAGCAGTGGCATAACAAGCCAAGGTAGCAAGTGTGCCCATGTTTTCCCCACATGTATTTTGAAGTTTCCATTCTGCAGGGGGCAGTTGTCAATGGGTACCTCACATAACACCCAGCATGCAGGGCTTGTCAAGGTAGTGATCTCACAGAGGGCAGGCTGCCAGGTGAACTGGTGGCATAAGCAGGCTCCATAAGCCATGGGGTATGGAGCATATAGGACCACCGTGCTCTGACCCTACAGCCCCACTTCAGAACTCAGGGTAGCTGAGGACCATTGACAGAGGAACCAAGGGTAGACCAAGGTCTGACCCACATGGTACATCTGGGCTTCACTCCTGACTGATGCAGCTCCCCCAGCCCTCGAGGACTTATGTTGTGGGGTATCTGAGTATCTGTGGGAACAGTGCTGTCCTTTCCCAGCAGCACCTGCACCAGGCACCTGTCAGGCCCGAGATGAAAACAGCAGAATGGGAACTGTGCTCTGAAGGATTATAATGCAGGCACACTCACACCACATCATAGCATCCCTGGGCTGGGCTTTGCCCCACACCGCATGTAGAGGGTGGGGTCAGTGATGGGGTGAGACAGTTAAGGACTGCCTGCTGGGTCTACCCATGAACCCATCCCAAAACCTTGGTGAGCCTATCCACGATGTGAATCAGGGGGGTCCTTGTGTCAGGACCTCGGGCCCCTGACCCGATTGGGTTATCCAAGCTGGGGTTTTAAAGGCAGTGTCTGAGCAATATGGAACTGGCCACCACACTAGTTAGAAGTAGCGGACCGTGTGGGACTCACAGGGGAGGCTGCAGCCCCAAGACTTGAGAGTAGGATTAGGTGTACTGCAGGGCCAGCAGAAGAATGACAGGATTCTGCAAGAGCCACGGTGGCTACGGGCGGCTGAGGGCCAGAAAGGAAGGGCTAGGATGCAGGCCCCACCAGGCCTGTGCCCAGCCCTCGGGCCACCTCCCAAGGCTTGGGTCAGAATGGGCAGACAGGTGCAGTCTGAGTGACATGGTGAGGCATCCATTGTCCACAGTGAACCGAGTAAACAGCAGGTGCCAGGGGCAGCTCAGTCAGAGCCTCTGCGCTAGGTAAGCAGGGGGTCCTCGGTCCAGAGAAAGAGCTCCCACTCCTCTTGGCACTCATGGCCTCTGCTGGGTCTCACCACAGGTGGGATGAGACAGCTGGAACCTCAAGGAATGTGTCCTTGAGGACACGAAAGACCCACATTCCCAGTTCAGACCTGAGAACCTGGCTTCTGCACAGACTTAGCCACACAAGATATGATGGGGCAGCTGTGGGGTGTGGGGAACAGCATGAACAAAAGCCAGAGGTGAATGCATAGGTGCCTGCATACTTAGAGGTAGCATGCATGATCTGTGACCTCTGACCTATCTGCGGACTCTGCTGGCACAGTGAGGCTCCACCATTTTGGCCTTTGCCTCTGTCACTCAGGGCTGAGGGGGAAGGACTCTATCGCAGCCTCGGGACTTGACCCTGGGACACTGAGCTGATGAAAGGCTCAGCCAGGCAGTCGTGGCCCAGCGACTGACAGCAGAGACCTTGTAGCATGTTCATGGGCTGTCTTCTTGGTCCCCTGCTTGTCTTCAGCCTCTGTGTGTCAAAAGCCCCAGCAGGATTTAACTGGCCCCTCCTGAGGCGGTGGGGCGGGGTGTCCCAATACCTCTGCCTGACCTGGAGTTTCATCATCAGCCCAAGCATTAGGCTGCTTATGGGTGATGCTGTCACACAGAGTTAGTAAGGTTCAGGGCGTCCTTGCTCAAAGTTAGGAGGGCTTGGGGGTGTTGCTTAGAGTTTAGAAGGTTTGGACCCTTACTCAGGGTTGAGGGGGCTTTGCTTAGGGTTGAGAAGGCTCAAGGGGAAGTTGCTCAGGGTTGGAGAGACACAGGGGGCATTGCTCAGGATCGGGGAGACACTGAGAGCCTTGCTTATGATTGTGGGAGCTCAGGGGGCATTGCTTAGGATTGGAAAGATGCAGGAGGTGTTGCTCAGGACTGGACTGGGGAGGTTTAGGGGGCATTTCTCAGGGTTGGGAGACTCATAGGCCTTGCTCAGGGCTGAAGCAGTTCAGAGGGCATTGCTCAGGTTGGGGAGCCTTAGGGAGGTATTGCTTAGGGCTGGGAAAGTAATCAAGTTAAGAGTATTGCTTGAGGCTATTACAACAGAGACAGAGTTGCTGGCCTTTCCCTTGGGGTGAGGGGGTGACTTGCCATGGGTAAAGAGTCCTCATGATTGCTTACAGCAGAAACCCGAGCCAGCCTTGTAGAACTGGGCATCTACTGCATTTGGGGGACCTAAAGTCTCTTCTAGTGTGAAGGTCTTGACCTCAGGCCTAGGGCAAGGCCCCAAAAGCAGTGTGAGCCAGCCCCACATGCATGCCTGTCTCTGCAACCACTTGCAGTGCCACCTGCCACCCCCCTGGCTGGGGAATCAAAGGTGGGGGGAGGGTCACACCCTGGCACCGGTTCCCACATCTATAAAGGAGTGTGACCTTCCCACCACAGGAACAGAGTGGAAGATGTGCAGCGTACTGGGCACAGCTGCTGCCAGAGGCCCAGGATTCTGCCATCATAAACATCATCATTTGGGTCATCGCTGTCATTGCTGCCCTGTGTGCTCCTGGTCAGCGTGTGACTGTCGTGCCTTGTCCTCACACCACCCTCCTCCCGCAGTGATGAACGGCAGCAGCCACTCACCCACGGCCATCCATGGCGCCCCGTCCACGCCCAACGGCTTCAGCAATGGCCCAGCCACCTCATCCACGGCCTCACTGTCCACACAGCACCTGCCCCCGGCTTGCGGGGCTCGACAACTCAGCAAGCTCAAGCGTTTCCTCACTACCCTGCAGCAGTTCGGCAGCGACATCTCACCTGAGATCGGGGAGCGCGTGCGCACACTAGTGCTGGGGCTGGTGGTAAGCCATAGGGCTGCTCATGTTCCCCACAATGGCCACCTTGCAATGGGCTCCATCATTATGTCCACAACTCCATTTTGCTGTGTGTAGCCCCCGAGCCACTTACTGCCTGACCCAGAGCCTCCTCCATAGGGTGAGGGTGGTGCAGCTAGATCAGACCATCTATGACAACCCTAAAGTGAGGGAGTTTGTCCCGCAGAACTCAACTCTGACCATCGAGGAATTTCATTCCAAGCTCCAAGAAGCCACCAACTTCCCGCTGCGGCCGTTCGTCATCCCCTTCCTAAAGGTAACCAAACCCATCTACCTGTTAGCTTGGGGCTCCTTGAGAGGTCCCAGACCCCATCCCTGCCAGGTGTTATTCTCAGCCACCCTGAGGTACCCAGGAGTAATAGTGCTGACCGCTGATTCCTATTTGTTAGGACTACAGACTGCTTACTTGCCAGACCTCACAAATCGGCTACCAAGCCCGGTGTGTCCTTTTCACTCTCAGAAGATTCTTCCAAGCACCCCACTCCATGCCAGGAGCTGTGCAAGGCTCAGGGAACAGAGCAGACAAACAGGAAGTCCCTTAGAGCAATAGCCTGGTGGAGGGAGAGGACCACCAGCTAGCTGTAGAATTCAGAAGTGTGTACAGTGAGGAAATATTTAAAATCCCTTAAGGAAGTGTGTTTTGTGGGGACTGAGGAGGTTGAAGGAGGGCCTAAGGACAGGCATCAGGAACACGTGCAAAGGCCCTGGGGCAGGCGCAAAAGCAAACTGCCAGTGTGGCTGGAACAGAGCAAATGAGGGAACAGGTATGCAGGGGCAATGGACAAGTGATTGATGAGCAGGCAGGTGGCCAGACAGCAGGGTTATGGAAGCAGTCAGGAAAGATGCTATGGTAAAATGTGGAACACAAACTAGGGATTGGGGCATTGTGCATGAGCAATAGCACTAGGTCCCCTTGGTATAGTAGCCAGAGCTCATGAGCAGGGCAGACTCTGCCCTCCAGCCCAGAAGCTTGTGTTTGTTTGGAGGCATTGTTTCATTAGGTTTTTGTTTGGTTGGTTTTTGTGGGGAAGGTGTGGTTTGGTTTGGTTTGATTTGGTTTCTGCAGTCCTAGGAGTTGAACACAGCCTTGTGCGTGCTAGGCAAGTGTTCTGCTGCTGAGCTACAGCCCTGGCCCTTTTTAATTTTGAGACAGGATCTCACTAAGTTGCCTGAGCTGGCCTTGAACTCGCTATCCTCCTGCTCAGCCTCCTTAGTATCTGGGATCACAGGTGTGTACAGGCTCAGCTAGAAGCTGTATTTTAAAATCTGGTAATCCGCACACACCAGCAGGGGACAAGCCAGGTCCACACGTTGAGCCAGTGACTCGCTGCAGCCCTCACTCAGGGGGAGCGAGGACGGCATGCTCCTGAATGAGTTTGGCCATGTGATCTTTCTGCTGAGACCTTTCGGTGAGTGCGCTCACCTCCTGTCCAGCCGGGGCCCCAAGTTATGCTTCCTCCGTGTCTGGGCTCTGCTCTCGTCAAAGCTCAAGGTCAGATCAGATAAGGGGTGACCTCCCCAGAGGTGAGTGAGCATCAGTCCTGCTACTTAGCAGCCACTGGCCTGGTCCCACTCCTCTGTGCTTGGCCCTCCATTCGCCCTGAGCAGCTGGGTCTGCAGATTTTTGAGCTGCCTCTAGACAAAGTGCAGATTATAAAGCTCTGCACAGATCCCCCTGGAGGGGGATGCACAGTCTCTGACACTATTGGGTTAACAGGCAGGGAAACTGAGGCCCTCAAATGCCCAGCCGATGGAGACACAGGACTGGGCTCAAGCCTGGGTCTGTCCAGTTCAAAGTCCCCGTGGCATTCACAGTATGTGCCCTACCAGCCTTATTCCCTCTGGCGCCTCATAGTGGGTCCCCACATGACACCCTGTATCCGCTCCCTCCCACCCACACCCTACTGAGCTCACACTGGAGCTGGTGACAGCAGAGAAGCTGCAGGCGCCAGCACGTGGGCCCACCTGGCAGTCATTTGCGGTGCGTTGGAGGCCTCCTCCTCACCCTCCGAGTGCTGCTGACTGCCGCCGCCTGTCTTTGGGATGCAATGTGCCTGCTTATTTTGTCAGATCCAGTGTTTGTAACAGATGCCCAGTAGCATCGACTACCCTATTTATGCCCAGATCAGGGCAGGAATATCCCAGCTTCTGTTGCCAGGCCCATAGCCCCTGCCCTCAGCACCCCATTCCTACCATTCCCAGTATGGCACCACCCTAAACAGGCACTGGGTGGAACACCCTGCCCAGCACCGCCTTGTCAAGGGACCCCCTCCACCCTCATTTTTTCTATGTCCACAACGGCTGTTGAAGGGCTGTGAGGGACAGCGGGTGAGGGGTCTGCCCACCTCATAGCCCACCCAGGGCCCCAATGTCCCATTGTCATGAAGCTCCTGGGTGGACAGAAAGAGCCAGAAGTAAAGAGTCAAAATATGAGGTTACATCTTGTTGCCAAGTCACCAGCCAGAGCACTGGCCCACTCTGCCCTAGTCAAAGAGCCATGGCCCCGTGGTGGAAACCCAGCCCAGTGGGAGGAATGCTGGGCAGGCAGCTCCAGACATCTCCCTGCCCTCTCAGGTGGGGTCCCCCTGGGCTTATCAGGGAGCCATATAGCACCTTCTTAAACAGCCATGGACCTCCTGGCCTCTGCCATGCTCTCCATGCTCTTCACCTCTGGGATGCCATTCTGAAAAGGAACTGGCTGAGGGAGTAGCTAGACAGGGCCTGGCTCCAGCCACAATTCTCTCTCCTGGGTCTTCTCTGGGGCAGAACAAAACTATCTGCCTCACAAGTTATGGGAAGAGTTAAGTCACACAGGGCTCACAGGAGCCTGTCATACCAGGGTTTCTGTAGCTCTGATTTGCAGATGAGACAGGAGTCAAAGAGGTTATATTACCTACCCCAAGCCATACAGCCCCTCAGTGACGAAACCAGGGTGAGCAGTTGACCAAGCCCTCAACTGGACACTCTGTGGTGGAGGGATTCAGTAGAGTCAAGGGGACATTACAAACGTTTGTGGCTTAGCTGTGACTGTGGTGGTTTTGTGGGTACTGTTCCTCCTCAGCCTGAGTCCTACCCAGGAGGAGATGGGTTTGGACTTTTCTGGGTATCAGAACCTCCAGGCCAACTGGAGTTGGGGCCCAGGGTGCCCTCTGTACAAATTAATGTGTCCAGCCTCTGAGTGGTGATGCCACCTTGGTTGCTGGGCCTCCTGGGGAAAAATGGGGACCCTATTGTTCCCTCCCTGTGTGAGCAGTGGTCCTGTGACCCCAGCCAAGTGCTGCTGTGTATCTGTACTGTACGACTGGGCTGCCCAGTCCCTGGGTCCCCTCCACCCTGTCTTATACCCACTTACATCTAGCTGGACCAGTGGGGCTTTTCAGAAGCTACCCCGGCCAAGGTCCCAGCTCCCAGCTGGCCCCAGCTGTCCAGGAACCCAGATGTTTCCCCATCTGACCAGCTGGTGCTCATGCCCAGCCCCCATCCCACATACTGGCCAAGAGAAGGACCCTAGCAGGGTTGGTGAGGGAGGAGATGCTGGGTTCCTGAGACCTCCCAGGACCTCATCCCAGCTCAAGCTTCTGACGTGGTCAGCAGATGGTGGGCTGGCCCCTGTTCAGCTATCCAAATAGAAAAACAGGCCTGGCAGCCGCACAGCTCAACAAAAATGCATCGGCTGCCTGATGGGCTGGGTGGATGCGCCAACGGGCTGAGGAGGCGGAGGCTGGAGAAGGCTGCCCTGGCAGCTTGGAAACACATGGGAAAGTTGGAGATTGTGTTTATTTACAAATACCTAGAACTGCTGGCTCTCCCAAGGGCCTGCCACTGGGCGCCTGTCCAGCATGCTTGGGCCCAGCCTGCTGCTACCCTCCCCACAGCCTCTCTGGAAAAGGTGACCATGAGCAGTGCATACCAGGAGACCCCAGGCCCAACATGGGTGTGAAGTGCAGAGAGTTAGAGATGGGATCTGCACTCAAGTCCTGTGTGCATGTGGTGACCTGGTCTGCAAATGCAGAGTTGAATTATGGTGTCATCGCTGAGGACGAGAATCATGCAGGGTCACACTCGGCTCAGAGATATAAAGCTGCAGAAAACATACACTGACATTAGCCAGCAGTGAGCTTTGTTCAGGGCTGAGGTGGGAGAGGAGGGGCTGGTTCTGATGGGCTTCTGGACAGTGCATTAGGGGATAGAGCAGAGACCCTTTGAGCAACACACTTGAGTCCTGCTAGAGGTCCTGCACCTCCATTTACATTTAACTGTGTGACTGAGTGCTTGCCCTCTCTGAGCCTTACTTCCCTCCTCTGTGCCACGGACAGTTTGGTGCCTGCTGAGACAGAGTACAGCTAGTGAACGCTGGATGCACGGGGGCACCCTGGGAGGAAACATGGTGATGTGGAAAGTCTGGCTTCTGGACGCAGGTCCCGTGCACCCACCACACATTGCTGTGTGTCCAGCAGGGAGCTGGCCTGCCTCACTCTCTCCCCACGTCCTGCAGTGCTGTGGGAAGCAACGAGGAGGGAAGAGGACCTGAAGCCCTGAACAGCAGAGAGCATGTGTAACCCGGGGCTGTTTGCTGCCTGAGCATGTTGTGCAGGCTGGCATGCCCCAGCCAGTGATCAGCAGCCCCTCGAGCCCCTGTCCTTCCCACAGGCTAATCTGCCACTGCTGCAGAGAGAGCTCCTGCACTGTGCCCGCCTGGCCAAGCAGACGCCTGCCCAGTACCTGGCCCAGCACGAGCAGCTACTGCTGGATGCCAGCGCCGCCTCCCCAGTCGACTCCTCTGAACTCCTGCTGGAAGTCAACGAGAACGGCAAGAGGAGGACGCCCGACAGGTAGCAGGCCTTTCCAGCATCTCAAGGGGCAGGGAAGTGACCAAAGGCAACCCCTTCCTGCTCATCTGCCCCACCACAGCTCAACCAGGTCCATTGACTGCAGCAGGACTGAGTGCCATCAGTGCTGTTGCATGCTTTGGGAACTGGCAGGTGCGCTGGCAGCACTGGCCCAGGAGCCGCATCAGGCTATGGACCCAAGATCTCTGGGAGCTCTGGAGGATAGGTGGCTCAAAGGGGGGGTCTGCCTACAGGAACTCATCTTTCTTTGTGCTGCTTGTAGACCCTGAGCGATCTGGAGCCAGGGGCAACAGTGGCTGGCCAAGATCTCTGGGAGCTCTGGAGGATAGGTGGCTCAAAGGGGGGTCTGCCTACAGGAACTCATCTTTCTTTGTGCTGCTTGTAGACCCTGAGCGATCTGGAGCCAGGGGCAACAGTGGCTGGGCTGGACTGGGCCCCTTGACTGGCCACAAAGGTGCTAATACTGCCACTGTACCACAGTGGGGATCACACCTGGTCACAGGACACTGGGTGTCCCTTGCTGTGGGGACCAGGAGCCCTAGAGGAAGGCAGAGTGGGGACCGGGGCCCAGTGAGGCTCCTCTGAGACTTTGCCTCCACACCCTTCCTGTCTCTTCTCACCTCCATTGCCTCGCTTTCTGTCCAAGACTGCGACCCGTATTCACTGCCTGCCACCCGTTCTCTTGGTCAGGACCAAAGAGAATGGGTCAGATCGGGACCCCCTGCACCCGGAACACCTCAGCAAGCGGCCCTGCACCCTGAGCCCCGCCCAGCGCTGCAGTCCCAGCAACGGGTTGCCCCATCCCACACCACCCCCACCCCCACACTACCGCCTAGAGGACATGGCCATGGCTCATCACTTCCGCGACTCCTACCGACACCCTGATCCACGGGAGCTCCGGGAGCGCCATCGGCAGCTCGGTAAGCAGCATTGAAAGTGCCATCAGCCACTTGGGGTGTGGACACAGAGCATGTATGAGCCTGTGTGTCTGGGAGTCTACACACTGTATAAGCCTGTGTGTGCTAGTGCACTAGAGGGTTTGCATGTTCTTGTTCAGGATTCCGCCAGTAACTGAATGCTCAAATGCTCTGGGGGAACACACTGCAATCGTCACCAGCCACCTCATCTGTGCAGGAATGAAATGGGTATATGGAACTGGTAGCTACCCCAGGGCCCAGGTAGCCTGACACCCCGTCTCACTCCCACAGGGCCAGGATGCCTCTTCCCCGCCCCCAACAGAGTAGCACCATGCTGCAGCACCCACAGCTCCCCCACCCCAACTCCGGGCTGGGCTGTCTCAGACCTGAAGCAGCCAAGGGTGAGGCCCCAAGCAGGGCTACCTGGCTCTCTTCCAGTCCAGTTGTTTCCCACAACGACCCTTGCATGAGCCATGTGATTTCTTTGTGCCTCAGTTTTCTCCTCTGTCAGGCAGTATAGGAGTCATGTGAGGATGGAGTTACTGATGGAGCCCCTGACACAAGAGCGCTCTGAGGCCAAGTGACTACTGATAACAGGGACAGCAGCTGACACAGAGCACATGCCACCAAGCTTGTACTCTGTTCTTTCTCAACACATACCCACACCTCAAGAAACTGAGGCCCAAAGAGTAAAGAAAAGTGGCATAGCCACACCTGCCTAGCTAGCCTGACCCTCCTCTATACAGAGACCTGGAGATGGCCAGCTCTGCCCCACTCCAGTGCATTGGGAGAGAAACTGGAAATGACCACCTAGGGTCATTCAGGACACCTATGGGGTCCCAGAGCAGGGTCAGCGGAGGCCTCTTCCCAACCCCACACCGTGGAAGCTTCCAGGGCCTGAGCCCAGGCAGCAGGTGACAGTGTCTAGCTCACCACAGCCGGGTCAGGCAGGTGCTAATTCCCACCCGCTTCTGCTAATGCAAAAATAAACGCCAGCTGTCCTGCAGATCTCAGCCTCTATTTTAGTTGGGGTGTTGGCACAAGCCTTTTGTGGGCAGCTCGGGAGGGTGCTAGATGGCAGCTGTGGCCACCTCCCTGCCCTCTGCAACTCGAGGAAGGCATTTCAGGTTAGGGTACTGGGGGATCCTTAGGGACTGATAGAAACTTAACAGAGAGGCCTTATTCCCAGGAAGACTGGGTTGGTACCAGGTCACTCACACAGCCTCAGTCACCATGCTGGAAGTATTGCAGAAAAACCATTAGCAGAGCTCTAGTGCCCCTCATGTCCCAGTCAGTGGCAACCCATACCCTGCCCCGCCCATTGTTTGGCCATCCCTGAGGGTACAGTTCCAGGCTGGCCACACTACATACTGCCTCCTCCACTCCCTGCCTGTTGACTATGAACAGACATGACCCTTCACCCGCATCAGTTTCCTCATCTGTCAAATGGGAAAGACGACCCTCTAGAGTCAAGCCAGAGGAGAGGGACCAGGTGCTGACTGAGTCATTCTGCAGAGACTCCTGAGTTTGCTATGTCAGTTTAGGGTCCTTCCCTCCAACTACATACTGTGCAAGACCTAGGCAGGCTCAGGAAACTGAGACAGGAAAACTGGCAAGATGGGAGCTCCAGGCTCCCATGGGGAATGAGCATCCTGGCCTGCCGCTCTATCTGACCCGACTGCCAGTAGAGCTTGTGCAAGGACACACTTTGAGCTGGTAACTGCCCAGACCAGAGTTCAACCTGAAGATGCAGAGGTGAACAGGACACACCATCTTGCCCCGTACAGCAGACAGCCTGTAGGGGAGACTGGAGTAAACAGGGAAGCCCTGCACCCAGGCCAAAGACACACAGGTCCTGAGGAATTCCAAAGATTCTGCAGCTGTAGAGGAGCCCTGTGGCCTGGACTTTGAGGAATGCATAGGACTACAGCTATTTGCAAGGAAGTCATAAGCACACATATGCTAAGCAGCTGCAAGGAGACCCTGAAGTTTCTGGGCTGTAAGACCCTCCAAGTGAGATCCGGAGCTACCTCTCCAGCAGTGGGCACAGAAAAACCAAGAGGACCTGGACTGAGAGGCTGGGAGGCAGGGAAGGGGTGGCCATGGCAGAACCGGGAATAGCAATCGTTTTGCCTCTTCCTTTCAAGTGTTCAGCTGATCCCTGACCTACTGAGGCAGGAATGGGGTTTAGAAGTGGGAGGCACCTGGGGCTTGAGAGCCAAGGCAGGCTTGGTTATGGGCTGAGGTGGGACTTGGCTGGCAGATGGGGCCTAAGCAAGCACTCCCCTTTCCGCAGCCATGCCTGGGTCTCGGCAAGAAGAAGTGATTGACCACAGGCTCACGGAACGTGAGTGGGCAGAGGAGTGGAAGCACCTCAACAGCGTGAGTGTCCAGTGGTGGTTGCTGGGCCTCCATGACTCCCAGGGTGTTGGCCCAACTCTGGTGCCTGAGGCTCATGGGGAGGAAGTAGCACTGAATGTGAGCCTCTCTGGCAGCACCCCTCATCAGGACTCACCTGAGAGCCTACTGACTGCCTGCCCCTTTGTGTGAGCACCATTGTCCACTGTTGGCCTGTCAGAAATCTATGGGAATATCAGGCCATGCAGGCAGACTGCCCTCCTCTAGTACTTCCTGCTCAGAGGCTCTTGCAGAGTAGATCCTGGTGGTGCAGGGCAACCTTGTGGCAGGATGCCCGAGCCCCTGGTCGAGCCAGGCAGGCTACATCCTAATGTACCTCCTAAGAACTCTGCTCCTCTGATCACCATGCACCCTGCAGTGTGTCCTTTGCCTGCTTTTTGAGAAGGAATGTATGGCCCGCAAGGCAGATTACCCTCAAAATTTCAAGGGGAAAACCTCAAGCCCCTGCCCTGCATCCAGACAAGCTCTTATTCAAGTTGGGTACCCATAGGTATCAGAGAACGATTTCACTGCTTGTGGGGAGCTGAGGTGGGCTTCCACACCCTGCCTTCAGGGGTGATGGGCTGGCTGAGCTCCTATGAACTGCCTCCCCTGACCTGTCCTGTAGGATGGCCATATCTGGCCACAGCCCAGGTTCCAAAGTACTGAAGGCCCTTCTGCTCACCTGCAGCTCCTGAATTGCATCATGGACATGGTGGAGAAGACACGGCGGTCACTTACTGTGCTGCGCCGATGCCAGGAGGCTGACCGAGAGGAGCTCAACCACTGGATCCGGCGCTACAGCGATTCCGAGGACGGGAAGAAGGGCCCCACGCCTGCCTCGGCACGGTCCCTCAACAGCTGCAGTGGCCCTGAGGGGTCTCAGCTAGGTGTGTACCAAGGAAGAATATGGGGGACCCATAGTGAGGGGCTGCCAGCTCTGCAGTCTTTGTAGAATGGTGCTAACACCCCCAGAAAGCTGGCCAACACTCAGGCCTTCCTTTAACAGTGACCACTTTACTGGGAAAAATTTGCCTGGCCTTCTAGGAAGCATGGAGTTCTCAGGATCTGGTAGGCAGGAGCCAGAGCTTAGGGGGATGCTCCTAGGATCCTCTGTTCACCCACCACAATGGTGACTACAGAGATCAGAGGAGGCCCAGGACATCCCAGCTTCCAGCCTGAATCCATGTTCACTAACTGCAGAACATGCCATCCATCCTCTCATGCCCCTTGTGGTGCAGGGGCATCTGCCCTGTTCCCAGAGAAGAACATCCTTCCTTGAAGCCCTGGCCAGAGTAGAAGGGATTCTAGTATGGGAGAGGGCAACTGATGGGTCCACCCTGTGTGTGACACTACACCCCCTCCCCCGTGTTTCAGATGTCCACCGGGAGTTCATGCCCAGGACCCTCTCTGGCTATATGCCCGAGGAGATCTGGAGGAAGGCTGGTGAGTAGGGCTATGAGGACAGATCCCGGGAACAACTGTGAGAAGTGTCCATTGTACCTCAGCTGGGCCCCATGTACATCAAAGCTTCACACATCCTGCCACACACTGGGACGTGCACAGATGCAGTCATGCAGTACACACAAACACACACACACACACAGCAAGAATTCACACAGCCTGCATCTGGCTTTTCCTGGATGAGCTAAGCAACAGAGCTGTGGTTCTCAAAGCAGGGCCCTCACAATAAGAGCCTGCTTGAAGCCTATTGGAATAGAATCCTGGACACAACCCGAGCATACTGGGTCAGACTCTGGGGCTGGCCTTCACCTCTGGGGATGCATGCCAGAGTGAGAACTGTAACAGTGGCAGGCAGAGGCTGAGCCTTGTTAAGTTCATCTGTGCCTCTGTTCCTCATGTACAGGCTTACACACATGTGCCCAGGACTCAGGCATTCACCCGCATACCTGTGAGCATAGGTATGGGGTTATTGCCTTGTGCCTTTGTGTGCACACATGCAAGGTATGGTAGGTATGTATGCACACAGATGCATTTAGGCTCCTGTTCAAGTTGTCAGTGTAGAGGACCCAGAGCACCAGATGGGCTTTCCTTGGTAACTATTGGCCAGCGTGCCCAGCAGCCCACATCCTGTGCTTCACAGAAGAAGCCGTGAATGAGGTGAAGCGCCAGGCAATGTCAGAGCTACAGAAAGCTGTGTCTGACGCGGAGCGCAAAGCCCATGAACTCATCAACACAGAGCGCGCCAAGATGGAACGGGCCCTGGCCGAGGCCAAGCGGCAGGCCTCCGAAGATGCCCTGACTGTCATCAACCAGCAAGAGGACTCCAGCGAGGTAGGGCTGCTAGCCACCCGTGTGCTCCCTCCCTGCCTCCAGGTCCACTGCAGTCTGGGACCTGACCTGGGCTAGAACCCCTCACCTGTGGAGCTTTGGGCAACATGAGCTCCCTGTTCTTAGTGGTCATGGTCATCACAGGTGACAGGAAGCAAGCATGCTGTCCCTTCAGCACTGCTTGTCAGCACAGAGACTCATAAGACCTGGTAAGGTGTCCCTTGGGCCTACCTAACCTGAAGCTGCAGTAATTGAGGGTCCAGGAGTGATGGCTTATGTAGGGTCCTGGCACGTGGTGGGGGTAGGGGTGCATTCCACCTCAGGCTGCTGCTATCAAAGCCCCTGTTCTTTAGTCTATGAAAGCAGGAGGTGTGAGGAGAATGACAGGTCCTGACGAGGACCCGGGGCCTCCCTGGGCTCCTGGCATGTAGGCAGGTGTCCAGTGAGCAGGAAGGTTATGGAGAACTGTGGCCTGTGTGCCTGCTGTCCGTGTGCTGGGCTCCGTCCTGCAGGGCAGGTGTGGGAGGGCTCTGCAGCCTTTTCCTCTGCTCCAAGACTTTGTTGGCAGGGTGTCAGGGAGAAGAAGAGACCCTTTTCTTGGGAAGTCTTGGGCTAGCCTTTGGGAAAGGCCAGGTCTCCAAGCACCTGCATGAGCCACTGCCTAGGCTGGCTTATCTGGAGGGGTTGCAATTTGTGCATCTTTGGCAAATATCTGTGGGAAAACAACTAGAACAACACAGACAAAACCTCCTAGTTGGGGCTAGGAGATAGCTCAGTGAAGTGCTTGCCATCAAGGTATAAGAACTTGAGTTCACGTCCCAGAACCCACGTATAAAAAACCCAGCCCGGGGCTAGAGAGATGACTTAGCAGTTAAGAGCACTGGCTGCTTTTACAGAGGACCTGGGTTTAATTCTAGCATGACCATAACAAAGGAGATTGACGCCCTCTTCTGGCCTCTGTGGGCACCACACGTGTGGTGCAGTTACATTCAGGCAAAACATTCATACACATAAAAATAATAAATCTTGAGCCAGATGTGGCGGTGGACACCATTAGTTCCACCACTCAGGAGGCAGAGGCAGGCGGATCTCTGTGAGTTCGAGGCCAGTCTTGTCTACACAGTTCCAAGCCAGCTGAGGCTACAGGGAGACCCTGTCTCAAAAAGACCAAAATATATATATATATTTTTTTAAAGTTCCAAGATTCACATGCAGGTTATATTTAAACAAATGTGGATCTTGGGATTTTAAAGGGAAAAAAGCCAGGTGTTGTGGCACATGCTTATAATCCCAGCACTGGGAAGGGAGAGACAGGCAGACACTGAGGCTCACTAGCCAGCCATCCTAGCCTAACTTATGAACTCTAGGCCAGTAAGAGACTCTGTCTCAGAACAAGGAGGACGGCATTCAAGTATGTTACCAAAGGTTATGCTCTGGCTTCCGCACGCACACACATTTACATGTACCCACATACTCATGTGCACACACACACACACACACAAGGTCTCAGAGTTGTCATGAGAAGAGTAAAGAACCAACTAGAGTGTTTGGGGACCAGGTGATTCCGGGAGAACCTCACTCATTGGCACATGACAGCTGAGCAGACCCGAGGAAGGGGAGCGTAGAACTCTCAGGTGCCACAGCTGTCCTGGTGGAGGGGCCAGCAAGGCCAGCATGTGTAGAACAGCATGAGCTAGAGAACAGGAGGCAACGGTGAGGCCCAAGGCTTTGGAAGCCAAATAGGGACACAAACTGTGCTTTGACTCTTGAAACAGAGACTGTGTCCCAATCCCAAAGTCCAGCTGCCTCCTGGGAATCTCTTGCAGGCCCCACAGAGAAACAGTTAGGAAAGGGAATCCTGCTCTACAGCCACCCCTCACCCAAAAGAGCCCAGCGAGTGGTAGATAGCTCAGTCGCCAGGGCTCTGGGGCTCCTGGGGTACATGCCTAACTGGATCTCAGCAGCTGCAAGTGAATGCATTACTGTGCCCCCCCCAACACACACACACACACACACACACACACACACACACACACTTTTCAGCAGTTGGCAGGGTATTTAGGTGTGTGGGGTTTGGCCCCCTCTGACCATCCTCTCTACCCCCTCACATCCAGAGCTGCTGGAACTGCGGGCGCAAGGCCAGTGAGACGTGCAGCGGCTGTAATGCAGCACGCTACTGTGGGTCCTTCTGCCAGCACAAGGACTGGGAGAAACACCACCATGTGTGCGGCCAGAGCCTGCAGGGCCCCGCAGCTGCAGTAGCTGACCCGCTGCCCGGACAGCCTGACGCCACTGCCAGCCCCAGTGAGGCCGGCTCAGCAGGGCCCTCTCGTCCCTGCTCCCCAGGCCCACCAGGCCCTCTGGACGCCGCTGTGCCCCGCTGACCCCCAGACCCCAACACCCAGCCCATGGATGCCATGCCCTGACGACCTCCTGGCCCCACCCTGGCCTACCAGATGCCTGGCCTGAAGCCGGCCAGGTGGAGCCACTGCTGCTACCGCTTCTGTCCAAAAGAAAACACAGATTCAACAAAACTGCATCCATGCAACCCCCTCAGCTACCTGATGAGGTCTCCCAGGACCTCCCACAACCTCTTCAACATCCTCAGAAGTCATCATGGAGCTGCAGACAGTGGGCACCGGCAGGAATGTGGCCAGCTCTGCCTGCTGTCTGTCCCCTCTCTGTGCCTGTCTATGTCTCTATATCTCTCTCTTGATCTCTCTGTCTTGCCCTGTGTCTCCGTTCTGTCTTTATAATGTCCCCATGTTTTCTCCATAATCACAAAGTCAGTGGCTTTCAGTGGAGAATGGGGGGGGGGGTGTTTTGTTGGCAAACAAGCTACTCAGCAATGGACAAAGAAGACTGGGGTTCTGCCGTTTCCTACGAAAAAAGGAAGAAAAACTGTGATTTTTGTAGCCACAGTTGCTGTGTCACCCAGCTAACCCCAGGGGGATTGACGCACGCAGCAGAGATGGTGAGAATGATTCAAATCCAACTCGAGAAGCATTTTTTTTTTTCAATTTCAGGTTTTTTTTCTTTTTCTTTTTTCTTTAATGTCAAACTCTTTGGCTTTAAGAAAAAAAAAATCCAAAAAGTCATTTTTAAAAGCAAAAGAAACATACCTATAAACTACCTTGCCAGCTAGCCAGCCAAGGATGCCGGACACACCTCGCTCTCTCCAAAGGAAATCCAAAAAGCAAATGCAAGAAATCAAAATCCAAAATTTTTTATCACTGCCAAAGTATTTTTTTCAGCCTCCAGCCTGGGTTAGGATGTCAGTCTTTTATTTTAGTTTTGATTTTGTCAGGGGTGTTGGGATATTGGGATTTGGTGGGTTGAGCCAAGAAGAAACTTTTTGTTCTTTGTCAACTAGTAGGCAGTGCCCTCGATGGGCAGAGGGGTCAGCAGCAAGGCCATGTGCCGCTCAGCGCTGCATCGGGAAGCCCGAGTCAGCGTGAGCCTGAGTGTCGTGTGCCCCAGGGCCATGTCTGTGTGTCCCCGTGTGCAGGAGAGACACCTCCTCATCCCGTCTGTCCTCATGCCTCTGTGACTTCTCATACTTCATTTTCCAACTTGTGAAAAAAGTGCTAAAGTGTTCTTCCCAGAGAGCACAATTCCGAAACTAAACTGTGACAATCTTTTGAGTTGATTCTTGACTGCTTTCGAGAGCGTAGAGACAGCGAATTGCGCTTGCTTGGTTTTTCCTCCTCTACCTCTTATCTCCCTTCCCCACCCCATGTCCATCTCAGTCCTACCACCACCCACCCCCAGTGTCTTGCTGCGGCTACCCTCATTTCTCTCAAACTTTTGCAGAAAAAAAAAAGGAAAAACACACACACACACACACACAAGCCAGCAGCCACCCTCATCTCACCTGGAAGACTCAAGCCCGGCTGTACATACCCCTGTGTTGCAACCCCTGTGTGCGCTCCAGCCCTGTGGGTGACCGGTGATGCCTACCCACCCGCACTCCAGCCCTTGTGCTTACCCTGCCCTCCACCCACTCAACTCCCTCAAAGACCAAGGAGGAAATACGGAGGTTCACACCTGTACCAAACAAAAGGACAGCAGACAGCCCGGGTCTACACCTGGGCATGTGGCTGCAGCAGGCTCCAGGCCCACAGTGCAATACAGGGAATCACTCCTGGACCCTGGGCCCGGGGGGCCCTGCCCAGAGCAAGGCGTGCAGCGTGTGTTAATGTGAATGTAAATAGTCTCCGCAGAGGTCCCAACCACGGCATGAGTACCGAGGAGATGTTTGCCAAATAAAAAGAAATTAAGACAAACCACAGAAGTATGTGAAAGTTAGGAAATACTTTCAAAGGAGTCTGAGCTGTGGTCACCTGGGCTTGTTTGGTGGCTGGTATTGCTTCACAGCTGTAACATTCTTTGAGCCAACTTTAATATGGAAGAATCCTGTTGGGCACCACCAACCTGATGCTAACCCAGTGGAGCTTGACACTACCACCCTTGCTCTGAAGACCAAGGTAGATCTCATCTTCTGGAAGATTCCTGAGGCCACAGCCCTCCAGCCCACAGAGATTTGCTTCTGTGGGTTTCATAGAAGCCAGGACACATCCTTCTAGTGGGCCAACTTTCCTAAGCGCCAGCCTGCTGAGACACAGAATCAGTGTGCTGGTGGGGAGACCTGCCTCCCTCACAGGGAGCGTCTCTGGGCTCCACTCCCAACTCCTCCCCACGTTGTACTTCCCCTTGTCTCTGTTGCCCCATGCCAGGCAGCATCTGGGCCCTTCCAGGTGGGCAAGGCAGGTGGCCATGAGTAGAAAAGAGCCCTGGGTGACAAGAGGTGGGGCACCACATTTGCGGGGGGAAATCAAGTTGGGCCTTCAGCATGTACAGTCTGACAAGGTGGTACTGGAGAGCCATGATCTCTGAAGATCTGGGTGAAGAGCCCTAGGGTGGCTGATGACTGTCATCTCCAATATTAGGACTCAGGGGCACTCATTCCTAGTTGGGGACGCCATTCTGAGGTAGGTCTCAGAGGGGCCCTTCACCTAGGGACCCACCAGTTTGCTTTGCCTGCAGATACCTCCTTCCTTCCCCTCACAGTGTCCCTTTTTAGGGACAAGCAGACCTACGAGTACAGCAGAATGCTGGCCAGCCAAGTTGGCCTCGACATACTTAGGGTTCAGCAGAGCCTCCAACCCCAGCTGTTGGAAGGAGCAGCCCCACAAGACAACTAATAGATGCCCTTTGACCATAGTAAATCCGTGTGTGAGGAGATTCGGCGGCCACCACGATGTAGATACCCAGGGTGCAACTAATAGTAGAGCCCCAGCAGTCAAGGGAACTGCAAAATCAGGATGGTAGCGAGGCAGAGGTAGGAGTGTAAGTGGAGAAACTGGACCAGAAACAGCACCAGGGGATCCCAGGTATATGGATGAGTTTTGGACGGGCATTAGCAGTGTCACCTGAGGCAAGTTAGGAAGGTACTGAAGTGTGAGGGTCTGGTAACACTGAGTGCTGTGCCCAGGCTCCAGCCAACCAGAGACCTCCCAGCAGTACCAAATATGAAACCCACAGGTTTTGGGAGAATGGGGTCCATGGGGTGTTTTCTGTTGGGAGTTGAGCTCCTAGAGGCCGTGATTACACATACTCTTCGTTTCAACTGGTCTGCCTGGGGCCTTCACCTTCCCCATACTATACAAAAAGGGCTCTACACAGAACTAGGGGGAATGGTGCCCCATGCCTGCCTCCTTGGAGCTCATCCTGCTACCTTTTCCATGTCATAGACCATGTACCCTGCCTCCTGCTAACCACAGTCAAACATGAACCAAACCTGTGGGACATGGCTCGCACAGAGCCTTGCTCTCTCTCCCAAACCCCAAATCAAAATGGCAGCTTTGCTCCTGTTCTGAGGCCAAAGCTAAGTCAGGAAGGCTGAACAGGGTAGGAACGTGGCAGCCAGAATCCCTGACCCTCAAGACCCAGCCCAGTCACTGCCCTGCAACCTTATAACTTGTGGTGTGTGACACCACCTCTCCCACACCTCCTCTCATTTTGCCCAGCTCTGCCCTGAATCCAGGCTGGCCTTCCCTGAGGGCTTCCCTGAGAAGGTTCTTTCCAGGTAGTCCCCCTGACCTGAAAAGGGACAGAGGCCAATGGCTCTCATACATGTGGCCATAGGTACATAGCTGGGCTGGATCACATCGAGAATCAGGTCCCATTGGTTGTCTGAGTCAAAGTTAGAGGAGACAGCCCCCACAGGAGAGGCCAGAAGAAGTCACCCATCAGGGACTTAGGGCAGAAGCTCTGTGAGGGTCAGAGATGATGGAAATGGACAGAATAGGAGGGAGGCAGGGCAGTGTCATCCCCAGGCCACAGTGAACAGGGACCAGGATGGGTCCCAAAGGTCTCATTTAGTTTGTCAAAATAAATCCTCAGATTAACAGCAAAGTAGCATCTTGGGCACCCATCTGTCAAACTGCCTGCCCTTCAGCCCAACCACACTAATGAACTAACACTTCTGAGTTCACCCTTCTGATCCACCTAGACATCTGCCCATCAACTCATCCCCTCCTTCTACCCACCTTGACCCACCTCCATCCACCCACCCACCTCCATCCATCCACCCACCTACCTGCCCCTCCACCCACCTTGACCCACCTGCCCCTCCATCCACCATCCACCCACCCACCTCCATCCACCCACGCACCCACCTCCATCCACCCACCCACCTCCACCCACCCACTTGCCACCTGCCTCCATCCACCCATCCACCAGCCACTTGCCCATTCACTGAGCTGTTCATTGCTTCATACCCAGCACACCACCTTCATGCTTGTTTGTACTCCAGTCCCACCCACACAACCATCCCTGGATCCGTCCTTCCAACCATCTCCACCCACTGTACCCAGAGTAGTATCACCAGCTCCTTTAGTCTTCCTTATGGCTTACACTGTGCTTGCCCTGGGCCAAACAGGGCTGCCCTAAGGGCCCCTGGCCATGAGATAGTAGCCCTTTTTGGTGCCCTGCCCCGCTATGCCTGCTCCACACACTTCCAGAAATCTATGAGGTTCCAGCTATGAGCATTGTGGAAAGACTAGCCAAGTTCTAATGACAGCTGTGACACATCTGGTTGGACTGGGGCCAAAAATGTGTGCTGGGAGGAGACCCACACGCCTGTTCAGGGGTTCTGTGAAGGCCACCAGTTAGGTAAGCGTGTTCTCTGCAAGTGGAGGCTGTCCTCCCCACTTTTTTCTGGAGTCAACCACCAGAGAAGGGGTCTTCAGGGGAGGAAGGCAAGCCAGTAACAGCCTCCCGTGAGACAGTTCAGGGCCCTGTTCCTCCTCAGGACTCTTGGGTGCCATTCCCACCTTCTTTGGTGAGGTCTTAAGTAGCTAAGAGTTGAGACTGTCCAGTGTGGCCCTTCCAAATCTCCTGATGGTAAGGGGTTTTCTCTGGGGGCATTTGGGGCCATCCACAGTTTCCCCTGATAGCCCTCCCTGCCCTTCCTGAGGCTCCCACCATGTAGGGAAGTGTCTGAAATGAGGCTAGGGAGAGGCCCCCAGATTATCATCACACTGGCAAGAGGAAGAAACCATAGGGAGAGGACCTTGAGGTTCACTGGGCTCAGGCAACTCACCTCCTGTGGACAGCCTGTCACAACAGCCTATGCAGGTCCCCAAGTTCCAGAAACTCTATTTTGCTTGTTTTCTGTTCCTTTTCTTTCAATCCAGCTGGTCCATGGAGTAGCACCCCAGAGACTGGGAAACAGGAATGCAGCATCTGACCCAAAGTGCAGCCTACTTACCATATCCTCAAATGAAGGAACCAGCCCCTGCTCTCCGCCTCAACGCGGGGCCCAGCAGCCCTCAACTCACTATATCTGGGGTGGGCCAAGGGTCAGGCCTGGGGCACAGCCCCGCACAGCCTGCTGGGGAACTGATGCTCTTCCACTTCCTCTTCTCTTCTCCCCGCAGGAGCTGGGCTGAGAGTACTCATTGTTTTCTTCATGAGAAGCTGCGTTCCACAGCCCTCCATGTCTGAGTGCTGTGTCAATGCCACCCACCACTGTCCCCTGCTGTCTTATATGTTTACCCTGTGGACCATGGACACAGTGATCAGGTTAATTACATGTAATAAAGTGAGCATTTGCTATGATGGCTCTGCTGCTCCTTGAGACCATTCTACACACATGGTCACCACACTGAAGGGAGGTTCTCCCGGTGGACAGACAGATATGGGAGGATGTGGTGTTGAGTGTACCAGGGAAGAGATAGGACCAGGACAAAGGGGACCTACAACCCCTCTGCTGCTGCTGCTTCCTCGGTGAATAGGGTCCATCTTGGAAGGCTAGGTCTTGGGGAGTTCAGGATAACCTTGAACTCCAAATAAGACACTGAGGGTCTCGTGGGCCTGACTCCTACAGCTGACTGAGGACCTGATAGAACACTGAAAACCTGAGGGGACAATGAGGGCCTGGGGAAACTGAAGACCCAAGGGGAGCACAGCAAGGAACCCCCATCTTTGTCTTCTTGCCTGACAACTGTATCCTGGCTGGGGTGGGTCCCTCTACAACTAGATGGTGCGATGGTGGCTGCCTGGAGGAAGTGGCTGTTATTAATACTGTCCCAGCTTGGAACACAGTGTATTTTGAAGACATTGTTGGAAAGGCCAGCATGGGGGCAAGCTGTCCCTAGGCCAGGCGTCTGGCTGGAGCCCCACTGGGCCTGGTGTGTCAGCAGTCTCAGGATAGCATGGGGCGGGGTGGGGGGTGACAAGGTTTTTCCACTGCAGACACTGAGCTCAGAGGGGAAACTGGCCAGGGGCTGGGCTCTATCCAGCTGGTCTTGGCTTGGACACAGCCTGCCGTGTCCTGCCTCCCCCATGGAAGTACAGGAAAGATCCAGGTAGAACCCCAGTGCAGCTTCACACACAAAGGTGGAGGACATGCAGGGCAACAGTAGCCCCGTGTATGTCCAAGTTCAGCCTGTCCTGGATGACCAGCTTGTTCTCTGATGTTGCTTCTGCTCTGCCAGGAGAGACCTAGGGGAGTAATTGAAGCAGGACTGGGGAAGAGGCCAATGGCTACTCGGGGAGGAGGGGCAGTGGCCCAGGACACAGAACTCTCAGGTCCTGTATATATACACACTGGGCTGAGGGCAGGAGGCCAACTCTGGTCAGACCTACTTTTTCTCAGGCCATGTGACTACCTGACAGCCCTTCCCTATGGGCCACTGCAGTTTCTATTATTGAATTGTTTGTGACACGGTCTTACTCTGTAGTCCAAGTTTGTTTCGAACTTGTGGTGATCCTCCTGCCTGAGTCCCAAGGGCTGATTATAGGCATGAGCTACCACGTGAAGCACAATATTTTTTAATACTTCATTTTTATTTTAATGTGTATGAGTGTATTGCCTGCATGTATGTGAGTGCACCCATGTTGTGCAATGCCGCGGAGGTCAGAAGAGAGTTTCGGATTCCCCTGGAACTGGAGTTAAGGATGGTTAGTAGTGGTCATGTGGGTGGTAGGAATTGAACCCGGGTCCTCTGCAAAACCAGTCGGTGCTCTTAACCACTAAGCCATCTCTCCAGCCCCCACAATATGGTTTTCAGCCTCTTTGGCGAACAGAATGGACACGGTGAGCACATGGGAAGTCAGACTAGGGGTCAAAGGCCAGCAGCTTCCCAGGACTGCAGCAGCCATAGTTGCCCCTACCTGTCTCCTGACTCCTTCTTTCCCCCCTATATGGGGGAAGGGCGGTCAGCCACCCAACTTCATATACACAGTGTAGCTCCACCTAGCCTGTCTCTACCACAGCCCACATTTCCAGGAGGGAAAACTCCATTGGCTAGCCTGGGAGCACAGTCACAGAAGCATGGCTGTGGATGTGGGATTGTGGAGTTACCTGTGGATTTGGGGGTTGAGGAGTTACCCTGTGAACACCTCTTATTGTTACAGTAATGTGCACAGTTGACCCTAAGGCCCATTGGAGTGGGTTCAGGAAGCATTGGTGCCCATGTACGGCCAGAAGTCAGCAAGCCTGCCATAAGCTTCCAGATCCACTCCTCTGGTGTGTGCCCCACGAAGGAGGAGGTGGACACAGACCTGCAGAGGGCCTTCGACGAGGTGACGTCAGAGGCACAACAGTTGGGCAGGGCTGGAGAATGCTTCGCATATCTGTATCTCCCAACTACCCATTACCCACAGTTCAGCCACAGCAGCTGAACCAGGAACACAGCTTGGTTTAATTGGCTCCCATTTAAAAAGTGGCCTGGGTGGGGTGGGAGAGGGGAGAGTCTCTGAGGAACCCATGAGCCCAGACCCCAGTTCTCAGCTCCAGGGGCCCTTACTCAGATTGACCTAGTGCATCCAGGCACCCACAGTAGCATCTGCCCTGGAAGCTGGCACTGGTCCTATGTTCCAGAGCTGTCCTTCCCCACTGCTGTACTAAGTAGCTTGCCCAAGCCCTGATCCTCCATTGGTGCCTGCTGTCAGAGGCATACTCATGGCATGCTGCACGCACCAAAAGACAAGAGGACCCCACTGAGCTTACGGCACAGCCAAACTCAGGCAAGTGAAGCCCAGTCCACCCCACCCTGGATTCAGCCACCCACCTCTAAGTGTCCTTGGGGGTGCAGCTGATGAAGAAGGTGGGGAGGGGGTCTACAGCCTTTGACCCCTCAAGCAGGAAACCTAGCCTAAGCTGGGAGACCTTAAGTGCTTTAGTGGAAGCAGCTGGTCTGGGGGGAGGGCTTAAAGGAGAGGGCCTTAGGGCAGGTACAGCTGTGGAGGTGAGCTGACGTGAACAGAGAAACGTTGTCAAGCCCACCCTCCGTGCACACTCATGTGGCCTTTCCTGAGCAGCACTCTCTTCCCACCTCCTACTGAAGCCTGGCTCCAGACAGTCTCCTCAGACCTCGAGGCCCAAGGCTGGGGGGCCTGGACCAGGATGGAGAAGACCCCTCTCGGGCCAGGGAATGGAACGGAGAGTGATGAGGAAGCTGAGGAAAACCAAGATGCAGGCTTCTTGCTGTCTCTGCTGGAGCCAGAGAACCTGGCCAAGTGCACAGTACCCAACCAGGTAGCACCAGGGCACTATCCATGGAGGCAGGTTTGGACCTGGACATGGGGTGAGAGGTACAGCTGACTAGGAGATGAGAGGACTGATGCCCCCTGCATGCAAGAGGAAGCAGTGAAGCCCACACTGCAGGCTTCTGGGGCCTCCCTGGCTAGGGGGAGGTCTCCTGGGTGGAGCTGTCAGGGCTTTCTGGACCCTGAACACTGGCCCTGGCCTGTGGTGTCCTAGGTCATCCCCCAGTAGCTATGACTGCAGAGGCCAGCTGGCCATAGCTGCCCTCCCTTCTAGAGGGACCTGCAGGCTATCTACCCTAGGCTCACTGTGGGGTGGCCAGCAGGAGCTGGAGGCCATCAAGCTGAAGCTATGGGCCATGGAGCATGCTGAAGCACTGCTGGAGCCACCCTGTGTGCTGGACAAGACCACAGAGGAAGAGGGGGCCAGGGCTAGACAGCTGCTGAGCCCTGAGACCATGGGTAGGATCCTGGGACCTTTGCTAGCCCTGACCTTGTATGGCAGGTAGACAATTGTCCTTCCAAGTCCCTGACTACTAGCTGAGGCTCTGAACCCCACCTGCTCTAGAAGAAGGGGGGCTCAGGATGGCCTCTATATGAGGGCCATTGAGGGAGCATTCTGGATGACCCCACAGCGTGACTTCCTTAAAGGCCTGGGTGACCGCCCCTAGGGCCATGAGAAATGGATTCCTCAGTGGAGTCCTCTTGATGGTCCTGAAGCCCTCTCTCTACAGGCTGCTGCTTCCCTGAGACCCCCAAGGAGAAGGTGGAGGCCGACCACAGATCTGTCTATGTGGGCAACGTGAGTGACAGAGGGGTGGTCACAGCTCTCCCAAAGGATCTGGCCCCATTTAGGGTGTCTAGCTAGGCAGTCACAACAGTGTCTACCATGGATGGGGCTGGCTGTGAGCATGAGAAGGGAAGCTGTTGAATGCTAAACTCAAGTGCCTCCAGAGCCAGAGGCATAGGTCTTACCTTGGGGACAGCAGAGGGAAGGCAAGACTGTAGCCCCTGGGCAAAGTCCACGGAGGTGGTGGGGACTAGTCCTTGACCACTCAGCTCAGGCTGAGTTTGAGCATTCTGGTTTCTCAGCATGAGCTGGAATTGGGATTTTCCTGGAGATTTACTGCTTTTAAAAGGCCACACATACCTGGCATGAGCCAGAATGTGGGGCACAGCCAGCTGCTCACATAGGAAGCCCTTGACTGTCTCTTGGCAGCAACCCTGGGCAGGAGTGGATAGAGCCTCAGCCTATCCCCAGCTAGGGGCCAACCTTGGGGTCTCTCCAACCCCTCTCTGCCACAACCCCCTAGTGGGAGGTAGACAGAGTCCAGCACTTATAGCAGGTTCCCCTCCTGGGAGCAGGTGGACTACGGTGGCTCAGCCGCTGAGCTGGAGGCCTACTTCAGCCCCTGTGGGGAGATTCACCGAGTCACCATCCTGTGCGACAAGTTCTCTGGACATCCCAAGGGGTCAGTGTGGAGCAAAAGCAAGCTGGGCAGTGAGGGCAGGCCTGGCCCCTCATCCCTTGCCCCCTCATTCCCCACCTCCATCCCCCAGCTATGCCTACATAGAGTTTGCCTCCCAGAGCTCTGCTCAGGCTGCTGTGGAAATGGATGAGAGCATCTTCCGAGGCCGGGTCATCAAGGTGTGTTTCTCCGGGTGTTTTCAAAGTCCTCTAGGCTACCACTGAGCCCTGCTTACACATTAACTCAGATCAGAGCACCTTCCCAGGACTCACAGCTACCCATCCTGACCCCCTGGGCAAATTAGCTAAGCATGGCCAGAGCAGAAACCTTCAGTCCCAGGGCTAGGCTTAGTGTGGGTACAGCCTGGGAAAACAAGCCAGACTCCTCTGCAGGGAGGTGTTGGCCATGACCAGGCATGTCATGTGACCACAACTGCATCCAAGTCAAGGTGGAGGGACAATTTCAGCCTAAATGGGGGGGCTCAAGGCTAGAAACGCAAGCCTTAGGCTCAGCCTGGGTTCTAGTTTCAGGATACCCTGGTGAGGAGAATGCAATAATTTGGGTTCCAGGTACTTCCCAAAAGGACAAACTTCCCAGGAATCAGCTCCACGGATCGTGGTGGGCTGAGGACAAACCTACGTAGCAGAGCCCAGCCCTTCCTAAACAGCAGCCTCCAGCACAGGCCCCGGTTCAGATCCCGTGGGCAGACCCGGTAAGTAGGCCCATGAAGGAAAGTGTGGACCTGGAGATCACAGCAGGGATGTTCCTGGGCCTTATCGTGACTAGCTACAGCAGGTCTGCACTGGGGGAGGCAGGGACTGTCATCCCCTCAGCTGAGCCTTGACAGTACAGGGCACTTGGAAAGAAGTTGAGTCAGGGTTGCTGCCTGCCCGGACAAGCTCTGGGCTCCCTATTGGGAGGGCTACTCCTTCCTGGTCGCTGGGGCTCTGCAGATACCAGGCATCCCTGTTATGGAAGTGGGCATCCAGAAAGGGTCCTCTGCCTGAATCATGGGCTGACAAGTACAGGTAAGGCTGCAGCTGAGCCACAGACCATGTGTGGCCACTCCCAGCCCCAGCCTTTCTCCCCTGGGACCCTCCCAAGGCAGCAGGAACCTGAGGTGCCCTCAATGCCCCTTCCCCAAGTCTCTGAGCAGCTTGGTGATGACCTTAACCTTCACCCCGATAATCTTCCAAGCCTGTCTCCTCTGAAGGTGGCTCAGCTGCCATTATCCCCCTACCTCTCCACAGGGGCCGTGGACGATTCTCACCGTGGTTCTCACCATACTGAAGGGATGGCCTAGTTTTGAGAGTGGGGCCAGAGGCTGGGTCAGGAGTAAACAGCCGTCTTCCCCACTTACTCCAGGCATGTCTTCCAGCCTGGCAACCCACAGGGTCTTTGAAGGTGGCCTGGACTCCCAGGTCATAGTGGGGAGGGAGGTGGGAGGGGGAGGGGAGACCCAGGGTGAGCTGGGATTAGCATCCTCAAGAAACTCCTTTTAAAGAAGAACAGGTGTGTGTGTTGGTGGTAAAGCATAAATTATTAAATTTGAGAATTTTTAAGCGCATGTAACAACAGATCTCATTTCGTGCTCCTCCCTTGGACACAGGTTCACGTTGTACCTTTCTCTGTGGAGTTCCGTAGAACGGTGATGTGACCGTAGGACTCAAAAAAATGGGGTTCTGCTGCGTGATTCAACAGGCAGTGAACAGGGAGCCATCCCATCAGTCTCCCTCCATGCCTCCCTGGATCTCCAGGCACACTTGACCCTGACCTCCACCCCATCCCACCCCCCAAGAGGTACCTGGCATAGGCCTGAACTGGTCAGTTCAGGAAGCAGAGGTCAAGCCTGTATTCTGAGCAGTGTGTGTGCCTGACAAAGACAGGTTGTGCCGTGTGCTGCCACTGTGCTCAGCAGGAAGAGGTGGTCAGGCCCAGGTTTGCCCAATGCAAACACTTGTCCACACCAACAGTCATTCCTTACCTCATGCTCACCTCATTAATTCCTTAAGCCCTAGCACCCCTTAAGGTGCACCCTTCCCCAGAGCCTGTGGCTACCACATTAAGCCCCACCCCTCCGCCTCCACCAGGAGACCAGCTGGGGCTAGACCAATGCCCTCCCTGGACTCCATCCATGCTAATCCTCCTCAAGCCACTTTCACATTCCTTGTGGTTGTGGGCCAATGTGTGTCACCTTAGTTAGGTGGATGGTGCTCCCAAAATGTGACTACATCCTCACATCCAGAGTATAAAGGCAGCTTGTGGTCTTATTTGAAAAAGGCTCTCAGATGTAATTAGTGGCTCCACAGTGTTCTGGATTGTCCAGTGGACCACAAATCCACAGCAGGCAGGGCCTCAAGTGAACCCTGCAGGTCAAGGGAGACCTGGGTTGCCAGAGTTATGGGAGCTAGTCAAGGCCTGGAATGGATCCTCTCTAGGCCTTCGGGAAGTAGCCCTGCCCACAGCTTTGCTATGGATGTGAAGCCTTCAGGTGCTGTGGGAACTGCTGGGCCAAGCCTGTTCATGGCACTGTTAGAGCAGCCCTGGGAACTGGAGGTGACTGGGCTACCCTGACCAGCCCAGGCTGATCTCCACCCAGTGGGCAGATGTTTTCAGCAAGTCTGGCCTAAGGTGGCTTTTCGGGGACATCCCCAGCATCAAAGTGACCCAGCCAGCAGCCAACCAAGAGGCTGAGGGGCAGGGCCTTGCCAAAGAGTGGAGCCGGCCCACTCCACATCCCAGTGCAGACCACCACATTCTTGAGCCCACGCTCCCAGGTTACTCGCTCTTGCCCTCTCTGGTTCTTGGTTTCCTTTGGTGGTTTTTTTAGACAGGGTTTCACTGTGGCCATAGCTGCCCTGGAACTCACTATGTAGACCAAGTTGGCCTCATTCTCACAGAGATCCACCTGCCTCTGCCTCCTCAGTACTAGGATTAAAGGCGTACACTACCATACCCAGTCTGCCCTCTCTGAATCTTGGGGAACCTCCCACCAGGGGCTTTGGTTTTGATGATATGGTTGTCCCTTTAGTTCAGCAACCTCTGGTCCTTTTCTGACACATATAAGTTCTTTCCTTTGGAGGGGCCCAGGAGACCCTCCTTTCCGTTAGACTCAGGCATGTTCGGGACAAGGAGAATGGGAGACTAAGACATGAACACCCCTCAGCATGGCACCTGTCCAGTGCAGACCTCACCAGCAGTAGCCCACTGCCATGTGTACGCCAAGAATCGGGCCACAGACTTTTCTCCTACAGTGCCCTGGGTCTGCAGAAAGTAAACAGTACCGTAGGTACCAGGAGGGAAGACAGGCAGCAGATGGCTCCACAGATACCTACAATATGAGTCACGGAGCTGCCATCTCAGCCCCAGGGTGGACACCCTGCCCCATGACAGGCAGACCGTGGCCCTCCAAGGCCAGCCTCAGGGTGCAACTGCCCCACCTGCAGGTCCATATGAAGGTGAGCAGATTACATTATTACCTTTGTTCGGAAGCCAGGCCTGACAGTGAGAAGACCCCCTGCTGCAAAAGGCACTTACAGATACACTGGCCTCACAGGAACCAATAGCAGTGGCTGAAACAAGAGGGGACTTTATTGCCTCAGACATGAAAAGCTGAACTTGCGTAGTCCAGGGCAGGCTCGTCAGCCCAGAGTTGGGTGCCTTCTTCTCCACTCCATGCTCCTCATCAAATCTTACCTTCAAGCTTTCAAGAGGGCTGTTTGAGCTCCAACTGTCATATCCAACTTCCAAACAAGAGGGTAAAAGGTCCTGGGCACTCTGTTGTCAGCTGAATCCACTTTTAAAGGATCTTTCCTGCAAGTCTCTCCCAACACCACCTTTCCTGTCTTAACTACCTACCCTGGTGTGCGGAGGAGGGGAACAAAGGGCACTTAGCCAACTGTCCCCAGTAAATAAGGGACTGTCAGAAAGAAAGGGAGAGGGGTACTGGGGACAAGGTGCAGTAGCCATGGCACCCAGTGCTCAAGCAAGGTGATCTCCCTTGAAAACTCAAGATCCCAAGATTCCACCTCACTTCCTTCTTTTTGCCAAACCCAACCTCCTGCTAAAGCCTTTAACCCGAGTGTGCCTGGGCTCCATCTGGGTCAGTCAGCTGCTTGAATTTCTCGGCTAAATCTGCTGCTCATCTCGGCTTGGAGGCCTGGTCTCTTACAGTATTTCCTAATGACTCTGTGCTCAGTGGAGGGAAGTGCTGATATGCAGACTGGCTGTCTCTCACCCTACCGGAGCCAACCCATGTGGACAGTTCATAGCCCAGGGCCAAGGTGAGACACTCTGCAGAGGAGGGGGGGATTCATGGCTAGTGGCTCAGGGAAGACAGCACAGAGCAGCAAAGTCTGAAGGGGACTCAGGCCAGCCACCTTTGCCACCTCCTAGGACATTAACCACTTAGCCACAAGGTCCGGCAGCACAGGGGAGCCAGCCATAGCCACCACCTTCATGCAGTCAGAGGACCATTATCTGAAGAGAGCCTGCCTTGTCCTTACGGATGCATGCCATGGGAGCTGCATCAGCAACCCTGCTGACCTCCATGCACACTGACAGGAAAGGTTCCTGGAGTTTCTTATTTTGCACTTGGGAATCAGCAGCTGATCCAACACTGGGGTCCATGAGGCTTTCCAGCTTTCAGCAGCTCCTGAGGCCATCAATGTGCACAGGCGGTGGGTGGTGGGTCCAAAACGCTGAGGGCCCTTGTCCAAGGGGGAAGGTGTGTGGCCCTTTGCCTTGGACCACTTTCACCCTCAGGCTGGCCCTAGGCTCCTCCCAACCCTTATCACTCTGGAACACTCACCTGCTGTACTCAGTGCCCTCCCCTATATAGCCCGGTTGTGGTCACAGCTCCTACCCAACTCCACAGTCTCTGGGCCTCCTACACCATGCCCTTCAAATCTACAGGGAACATGTTTTCTGCTGCATCTGGTCCCTACCAGGTCCTCAGCTGAACCCTCTGACACAGAAGGATAAAGTAGATCTCATCTCAGGAAACTTTAGTGGAGAGGCACAGAGCACAAGGCCCACAGGGAGAGGAAGGGGAAAAGTCATCTCCAAATAGGATTGCACACACACTTCTCTTCCAGGTGACTGGAGCAGAGCTCCAACTCAGCAGACCTGGATCATCATCGACGTCACCATGTTATCAAAGGCCCTGAGAAGAAAACCCAGATTCAGAGCAGGACAAGCTACAGCCCTGCCCTCTGCTGGCAGAAACTGGCACTACCCTACCAGATCTCTAGGACTCTGGGGTTTTTCCAGGGTCCAGAGAAGTACAATGTACACCCATCAGACTGGGCACTGATACCTGTCTTCTGTCTCCACAGTCCCTGCATGGCCACTGCTGGCCCACTGCTCCACAGCCTTCTCTAGAGGGCCTCCCAGGAAAAGGCCTGCAGGGTGCAGGCAGGGGTAGGGAATGAGCCTCATGAGCAGGCAATGCTGCCCCTCCCTGTGCTGCTCAGGGACACCTGCCTGCTCTCCCTTGAGACCCAGGAAGACACAAGACACACAGTAAGGTGCCACCAGAAGGGCCTAGTTTGGGCCTTGTCAACTGCAAGGAACTCCTTGGGAACTGGCCTGGACTGGAAGCAGGTGTGGAGTACCTGAACATGGAGCCCATGAGTCCTGATGAAGCAGTGAAATGAGGTCCATCCAGCTGGAGGGAAATACCCAAACCCAACACAAAGGCACACCAAGCTACAACAGGGTCACAGCAGGGGTCCTTGCTGAGCCCTCTGGAGGGCCTCAGGTAGCCATCCTGCACACCTGGGAGACAGATGGGCGAGCCCTGCCCCAATCAGCCTCAGTACACTAAAGGCCTGGGTCAGTATTGACTGGAAAAATGGGCTGGCTACTTTGAAATCATGGCCCTAGGACAGTCAATCATAGCTCCCTTACTTTTCAAATGGCTATGCTATCACAAGGCAGGACCTACACGAATACACAAACACAAAGGCAGGGCCCACCTCGACTGGATTCGGTCTCCAGGGTTGTAGAACGGATTGCACATCACATCTGTGTAGGAGTTATGCAGCTTCCGGAACATCTGCAAGACCCAAATGCAGTCTAAATGAGCAAGTGCACAAGGCTGTTGCAGACTTCCGGCTTCTCTGAGGAACAAGAAGCAGCAAACACCCTCCGCCCCCACATGCCCCCCTCCCCCATCCCTCCCCACCCCACACTTACACTGCGAATCTCATTGTCTCGCAGGGCTGTGTTGGAGGAATCCACCACCATGACAAACTTCACCTTGGAGTTAGTCACATAGCCATATCTGCACAGCTGGTTAAGGAGCATGCTTTGACACAGGGGCTGTAGCAGCACATGACACAGAGGGATCACCATCAAAAGCCTGCAAAGCCCAGGGACCTCTGTTGACCTTGAATCACAGGAAGTGCCCTACCTGGGCTGGCCCTGTGGCAACTGTGCAGGTGTGTACCTGGACTCTGTACACTAAGGACAGTTCAGCCTCTTTCTGAACTAACGCAGGGCCCAGAGTTTTGCCATCAGAATGTGACACACTAGCTCCTCGCATCAATGTCACTGTGGACGGGCTGCATTAGTGCCCATGGGAAAGTCCCAAGACTACATGGTCTTGAATAATTTGTTCAAGGGATGGTCAAAAGTTTCTAGTGTCACATAAAGTTGAGCCTAACAATGACATCATGAAATAATCACCCTTAGTTCAAAGGTGATGTTCTCTAGAGAGTACAGGGAGACCCAGACACCCTCCAGGTGAATTCACACGCTCCAGGAAGCCCAGTCTTGCTTTTTCCAAGTAACTCTTCCAATTAAGGGAGAAAATCTTTAGATCTTTAACTTCAGGCCTGGCCAGCTGAACACTCTGGATTTTCTTTTCCAGTGTTTCCTGGCACAACTGCAGGTGCAGTGCTGGGCACTGCAGGATACACCTTGTAGTCCTCAGTCGGGTAGAGCAGGCCCAGGTAGAGCTCCCTCTGGTCCACCAGTGCCTTTCCCATGGCAGAGATCTTCTCGTCCACCACGTCCAGGGATGTGTGCACCATATAGTGGAACTTGAGCTCATTTTCTGAGGGGGTGCTGCGGATGTACAGAGGGTAGTTCTGCAAGAAGGTGACCACTGAAGGTTATGGGGATCCACCCACTGAATGCCAACTCTGACCACAGCATCAAAGAGTTCCTGAGGTGGGCTCTTGGCTTGTCAAATCCTTATTCTCTAAAATTCACTGTGGCAGATACTGCCTTCAGGAGCACAGTCTAACCTAAGGACATTTGTGGGTCATCTGCAGAGAGGGAACTAGAGATAAAACTCAGTGGCAAAGCACTTGCCTAGAATCCCGAGGCCCTAAATTCAATCCCAGTACAAAAAAGAAAAATATATATTGGGCTGGGGATGTAGCTTAGTGGAAGAGTGCTTGACCAGCATGCATGGGGTCTCAGGTTCAATCCCCAGTACCAGAAGAAAAGGAGATGAGGACAAGAAGGAAGAAGAGGAGACGGAAGAGGAGGAAGAGGAGAAGGTGGAGGAAGAAGAGGAAGGGAAGGAAGAGGAGAAGGTGGAGGAAGAAGAGGAAGAGGGGGAAGGTGGAGGAAGAGGAGGGAGAAGAGGATGGAGGAGGAAGAAGAGGAAGAGGAGAAGGTGGAGGAAGAGGAGGAAGAGGGTGGAAGGTGGAGGAAGAGGAGGGAGAAGAGGATGGAGGAGGAAGAAGAGGAAGAGAAAGATGAGGAGGAAGAGGAGGGAGAGGAAGAAGAGGAGGAGGAGACCTATGTCCTCTGAGGAGCAGGAGGGCAGGCAGAAATGAGATGCCCAGGAAGATGGGAAGACAGGCTTGAGCACAGCCTGACAACTTGCCCTGACACCTGAGTGAGTCGTTCCTCTTCCTGAGTCCACTCTGGCTCAACCACTACCACATGGCACCATGAACACTGGCTATTTCCTAATAGCCACACAATGGCAGTGGCCGTTTCTCAGCCCGTCAAGGCTCAGCTCAAACCCTCATCTCTACACTTGATCATCCTAACCCCTAAGTGAACTGCCACGGTTCACCATGTCTGGATGGTATCTATCTGGTCCCCACCTACTGGAGCTGAACGACTGACTCAGGACAGCTTGGTAGGTGCCGATCTTCAGCCATCTTTTACCCAAAAAGCAGCTGCATCTTTTACTGGACAGTTCCAATTACGATGGGTTTATGGGGACATAATTCCCTCCTGAGGAACACCAGTTGTGGCTGGTCGGGACAGAGCTTCACAGCACCCACAAGACCACAGCTCTCAGGGAAGATCTGGTAGGACAGACTCCACGCAGCAGGATCACGTGGATCCCTGGATCCGTCTTAGCATTCATAAACAACTTTCCAGGGAAAACAGAAAAAATGTTTGCCACCAAGGAGGGTGCAGGAGGCATTAGGGCTATCCTAGGGTAAAATGATGTACTTGGAGTCCAGGCAGACATGACACGTGCTCACATTGTATTTAAACACAACTGTCGGGCTAGAGAGACGGCTCAAGAGTTAAGCTGCTCTTGCAGAGGATCTGGTTTGGTTCCCAGCACCCGGTGGCTAACAACTGTAACTCCAGCTCCAGGGGATCAGACGCCTTCTGTCCTTCGAGGGCATTGCATGACACAGGTGCACTTACATACATGCGGGAATATAGTCATACACATAAAATAAAAATAAATAAGTAAAAAGTAAGTTTTTTAAATGTTTTTAAAATAAGCCGGGCGTGGTGGCGCATGCCTTTAGCCCCAGCACTCGGGAGGCAGAGGCAGGCGGATCTCTGTGAGATCGAGACCTGGTCTACATAGTGAGTTCCAGGACAGCTGGGGCTACAGAGAGATCCTGTCTCATTTTTTAAAAAAATGTTTAATAAGTAAATAAACTGTCCGGAGAGCAGGGGGCCGCTGGGGCAGAAAGACCGGACGCGGAAGGCGCGGAGGCCCCGGGAAGGACGCACAGGGCCGAGTGCAGGGCAGCTGGCGGGGAGAACGGGCAGGAGAGTCCTGAACTCGGGGCTCGGAGACTCAGGACTTGGCCCGCGGGGTCCCGTGAAAGGAGACCCGCCGCCCGCCGCCCGTCGCCCCCGCCTCAAACGTGCCTACCTCCTTGGCGATCACCGCTATGCACACCGCCATATTGGCAGTCCGCGCGCCGCGTGACGTAACAGCCGCATCGACCAGGCCCCGCCCCATGTGTCACTCAGGAGTCTGTCATTGTGGCTCCGCTCATTTCGTCCTTCGGCGAAGGCCCCGCCCCTTTCCTTCGTGGCTCCGCTCTCCCTTTCAGGTAAAGCAAGCCCGGGCCCCACCCTTTCTTGTCAGGCTCTGGCCCCAGGAGCCACTCAGGCAGCCTAGGCCCCACCCCTGCGTCATGGCCCCGCCCGTCCTGTCAGTCAGCTCCCGCCCACCGGTGTCGGTGGCCCCGCCCACCCTGTCTCTCACTCAGCCCCGCCCACCCCTGCGTCATGGTCCCGCCCACCCTGTCACTCAGGCAGGCCCGGCTCTCATCTCGCGGCCTGGTCAAGTCCAGGCTGTTGTGAAAAGCCCTTCCTGTCCCACCGAGGCCCAGACCCCGCCTTTCCTGTCTGGACGCGCCTCCTCAGCGTGTCACTCAGCCTGCCTGGCTCGCCTCAGTCAGGCTCAGCTTCTCTCCTCTCCGCCCCGCCTTTTGAGTGGCGTTGCCGCCAGGCCCCGCCCCGCTGTCGCGCTAGCTGCAGGTCTCTAGCTGGCTGGGTTCGCGCTCCGCTCGTCTTCGCGGGACTCCAAAGTTACCATGGCGGCGGTTACCCCAACGACCAGCGGGTGGAGGCTGCTGCTGGTGCTGAGTGCCGTGGGCCTCGAGGCCGCGGGTGTCCCTCAGCCCCCCAACATCGTGCTGCTGCTCATGGATGACGTGAGTGGGGCCGCGCGGAGTGAGACACGGGAGGCCTCGGGCGGCGAGTGGGGACCCGGCGAGCCCAGACTCGGGTCACGTGTCTCCTGCACGTCCCCGTGGTGGGCGTCCGTGCACAAGTGACCCTTCCATCTCCTCGGCGTCCCCTCTACCCTCCGTGCCCACCCACCTCCCCTGGGTCTCTGGCATCTCTCCCAATCTGCCCTCCGTGCCTATCCACCTCCCCTGGACCTCTGACGACCCCCCCTTCTGCCCTTGCTGCCCACCCACCTCCCCTGGGCCGCTGGCGTGTGTCCTCGTGTCCCCCCGTCCCCCCCCCACCGTGTCCCGTCCCCCCCCTTCCGTGCCCACTCACCTTCCCGTGGGCCTCTCGGGGACTCTGACCAAGTCAGCCATGTAAGAGCTGCTGAAAGATGAGACTGTCACCTGACAGGCAGGTGTGCAGTCTGGGACTCCATGGATCCAGCCCTGGAGCAAACCTGTTCTAGTGCTCTCATCAGGAATCTGTGACCCTGCAGTTATATGGAAGTTTAGAAATTAGTCACTTAGGGGGGCTGGAGAGATGGCTCAATGGTTAACAGCACTGACTGCTCTTGCAGAGGACCCAGGTTCGGTTCCCAGCACCCACATAAAGGCTAACAACCATCCGTGACTCCAGGAGATCCAACACCCTCTTCTGACTTCTGGGGGCATTACATGATACAGGTGCGCTTACATACATGTGGGCAACATACTCATATACATGAAATAAAAATAAATTTTTAAAAGGCACTAAGTTAAATAGACCTGTCAAAGCCATTGGACCCTGTCTTCCTCTGTGCCTCAGCCTGTGTTCCCCCACACACTGCAGTGACCCCTGTTAGCTGTTATGACCAGGGCCACATCCAGTTTAGAACAATTTGGGGCCATCATGGGCACCCCAGAAGCAATCCAGTCACCCTGGCTTCAAGCAGATAGATGCCAGGCTTCCTTGCCCATAAAGCTGCTATCTGTGAGCTGGCCCTGGTGGCCCCATGACAACCCCATGACAGACTTAGGCAACTCCCAGCTCAACCACCCTTTAGTCTGGGCCTGACTGGGCCCCACTCCTGAGCCAAGCACAGGGAGGACAGAGTATGCTGTGCTGCCCAGCAGGAAGGCTGAGCCCTGGAAGGACCATCCTGGGAGGAGAAGGCCTCCTGGGTTCATTCCTGACCCACCCCAGGGTACCTCTACCAAAAGAGACAAATGCCAGAAGGTGAAAGAAGTCCTTAGGTGGCAGGTAAGAGGGTACAGCCTCGGCAGTACGGGGGCATCCCTGCTGGCCCCGTCTCCTTTGAAGCCCCCTCCCCTTGGCCCTCTGTAGCTGTCTTTGCCAGGCTGATCATGTCCAAATTTGCAACAGGTACTTATGTGTCTGGCTTTTGTAGGATGACGTGGCTGCCCTTCCAACCAATTACTGTATTCGTTACTTTTCTGTTGCTGTGATAGAAACACTAACCAAGACAAGGAAGAGTTTATTTGAGCTTACAGTTCCAGGGGAATTACAGTCTGTCTTGGCAGGGAGGCATGGTGGCAGGAAGTGGCTGGAGGAGGAGCAGAAGCTAAACTCTCACATCTTCAAGCAGGCACAGGAAACAAGAGAGTGACTGGAGATCCAGGCTTGGCACTGTCTGAGATCATCTCCAGTTTAGATTCTCCAGGGACTGTCACCCACTTTGGACTGGCTTCTCATGGCCTTATCCTCCCCTGGTCTATCATGAGTGGCCAGAGTTAGAAACAAAATCCGAGGTCCAAGGACCCCGTCAGTACAGAACAAAGAACATGCACAAAAGGGTGACCTGCGTGATTGGGCAGACCCAGCAAGTACACCAGTGACCCAGAAATCTGGGGCTTTTATCGCTAAACGCAAGAAAACTCTGTCTTTTCCCCATTGTCTGGGGTCCGATCTCACAGTCTTTTCCTGTTGGCTAGCTTAAAACAATCGGCACCAAGGGAGATTTCCAGAACTCCAGGCCATCAGGCTCAGGAATGCATCAGGACCTTTCCTTAAACGAGTCTTACTGGTGTGGTGTGATTTAAAAGATTAGAATTCCTTGTCATAAACCAAATTTCAAGTTTTACAGAGTTTGAAAGAAAAGACTAATACCTACTCTTTCTTACACCAGGGATAGGTTCCAGGCCTGCCCCATTCCCTGAGAGGGTACCATTCCGGACAGGGTGGGTACCTCAAAACTAATGAACTGCACTAAGCAAAGCCCACTCACCTGCCAGTCACACTAACTTAGAAAAGGCCACACACCTTTAATCCCAGCAGGAGACAGAGGCAGGTAGATCTCTGAGTTCAAGGCCAGCCTGGTCTCCATAGTGAATCCAGGCCAGCTGTGGCTACAGGGAGACCCTGTCTCAAAAAAAAAAAAAAAAGCCCAAGAAAAGAACCCCCCCACCACCCCCCACACACACACTCACTCACTCCTGCCCCAGGAGTCCCAGGCAGCATGAGAAGCTGGTTCATGGAAAAGGACAGCGTAATTGGAGTGAGTGTACAGCCCCTCACCCCCCACACACCCAGGGGAGCAAGCCCTGCCTTGCAGCATGGCATGTGACTGGTGACTCTTCAGGGTGTCCTAGGGTCCAGGATGGCATGAATGGAGTACATGGAGTGGTGCCTGTTGAAATGGTTCAGAAGGGCGCCATTGGTAAAGCACTTGTCATGCAAATGTAAGGACCTAAGTTTAGATCTACAGCAACCATGTAATGCCAGAAAGGTGTGGTAGCCTGCCTGTAATCCCAGTGCTTTCAGGAGACAGACAGGGTCCCTGAACAAGCTAGACTAGATCTGCATTCAAGTAAGAGACCCTGTTTCAACAAGTGAGCTCTGTAGAATGAGTGAAGACAACACCTCATGTCAATGTCTGGCCTCCACATGCACGTGTGCACACCAGTTTATGCATGCCCACATAGACATATGCATCTACACACATACAAACATATACACACCCACATACCACACACAAGAAGGGAGGGAGGGAAAAGAAAGGGAGTAGAAATGTAGCTCAGTGGTAGAGCACTGTCCTAGCCTGCTTGAGGCCCTAGGTTCAATCTCCAGCACTGAAAACACAAACCAACCAGAGGATGGGGAAGGAGAAAGAGAAGGAAGGCAAGATTTCAGTCAGCTCAGTTCTCAGGACTGGAGGTCGGGTGTGGGGCCCTGAAAACTGCTGAGACCAGTCAGTGGTAAAACTGTCCGCTCAGCCCATCGGTCACCCCCACCTCTGAGTCTTGGTCCTTATTAGAACAGGGGCTTAGAAGAGTCAGTCTGGCAGCGGAGGAGGCTTAGAGTCCAGGCTGCATGGCCAGGCCTGCCACCACATGGTCTTGTCCAATGGAATACCTGACCCCAAACCACAGAGCTATTGCTGCACACAAGGCTCCCAGTGCCCACATGAAGTCATGCTGGTCTTTACGAGGACCCTGAGCGACAAGGACAGACTGAAGTTACCCTTTCAAAAGCCAAGAAACCCCACTGGACGAAAGCAGGCTGAGGGCAGGATAGGGATTGTGGTGCGAACTGAGGCCACAGAGGCCTTTCATCCCCATTGCACATGGACAGTTACTGGGGAGTTTTGCAGTGATTATCAACTTGACAAGAAATAGAATCACCTTGGAGACAAATCTCTGGGCACGTCTGTGAGGGATTTTCCTAGATTAGTTGGGTGGGAAGATCACCCTAAATGTGAGTAGCACCATTTGATGGGGTGAGCTGAGCATCAGTTCATCATTTTCTGCTTCCTGGCAGTGAACACAGTGTGACCAGTGCCTCATGCTTCTGCCATGATGAACTGCACCCCTCAGCTGTGAATCCAAATAAACCCTAAGTTGTCAGGTAGTTAGTCACAGCAGCAAGGAAAGAAATTAATACAGAGTCTTTTGAGCTTTTGATGATAGGGGAAAGGGACTCTTACACTGTGCCCTGCATAGGTTGATTCGTTAACTGCAGGGTAGATCCATCTTCAAAGCAAGACCATAAGGTGAAGGAATAAGTGTTGATCAAAAAGCAGAAGCACACAGCTGCTGTCCTCAGGAAGGCCGCTGTGTGAGGTCGCCCTGGCTAGCACTGGAATCTGGATGTTACCACCCATCCCTGGGAAGAGTGACTTACAGCACTTGGGTTGTGCATGTAGGAATCTTGGTGTATGTGGAACATTACCTCCCCTCCCCCTTTCATCAGGATTTCACTCTGGGCTCTCCTTGACTCCTCAGTCCTTGTGATCTCTATGGAAAGAATTCAGACAAGACATACAAAGCACAGGGTAGGAGAGCGACAGAGTTTATTACGGAGTGAAGAGAGCTTCGCTCGGGCAAGAGTGGACAGTGACTGCAGGGACCATGGACCTTTTAGGCAGGCCTTATACTATTTAAGATTTATTTTTATTTTATGAGTTTAAGTGTTTGCCTATATGTACATATGTGTACCACATGCATGCCTTGTGCCCATGGACCAGAAGAGGTTGTTAGATCCCCTAGAACTAGAGTTAAAAACTATTATGAGCCCCTATGTGGGTGCTGGGAACTGAACCTAGGTCCTCTGTAAGAACAGCAAGTGCTTCCAACAACTGAGCCATCTTTCCAGCCCCTTTTATACGATTTTTCTTTTGCAACTTTTGTGTGTGCATGTGCACGCCCCATTTAGAAGATGCCTGAGGGGGCCAGAAGAGGGTGTTAGATCCCACAGAACTGGAATTACAGGTGGCTGTGAACCACCTGATGTGGGTGCTGTGTCAAACTCGGGTCCTCTGGAAGAGCTGCCAGTGCTCTTAACCTCTGTTCATCTCTCCAGCCCCACATCATTCTTTGGACTAGTAATCAGAGTTTTGCAGTTTCAGTTCTTGGTTTTGCAGGCTGATTATGAGGGAGAGATCCATCCCCAATGACCTCCAAGCCTGCTAACATCTACCTAGATACCTAATATGCTTGGGCATCCATCATCTTGGTGTGTGCCAGGCACAAGGCGACCAGCCCAACCAACCCCAGGCTACAAAATGTCTCACAAGCTCCCTGCATGACTCTACTCACATGTGCTGTCACAACTTGATCTTGGGGGAAGTAAGCCTGTGGCATTCAGTCATGGGAACAGGGTGCTGGAAACTGCCTGGTCTCCCAGACCTCCCACCACCACCCCATGCGTCTTCCCTTTGGTTTGGTTCTGCTGCTGTCCCTTCCCTGAGATGAACCACAGCTGGGATTGACTCGTGCCCTTCCTCAGTAGGGATTCCATAACTGATACAAGCACCACTCTCACCTCAAAGGCAATAAGAATATTTTTCTGAGCCAAATCGGAGTGATCGTGGCCTGAGAACATGGGTTCAGGTTGTCCCAAATAACACTCTGATTTGAAAATGAAGGTTAAACTCATGGGCTCCAGGTGGCCATGAATTTGGGGAAGCAGAATTCCATCCAGCCAGTATAGCCCACAACTTGTCCGTTCATCATCTGGTGGTCACTTGAACCAGCTCTGGCCCTTGGTGTTTGGAGTCAGGCTGCCATGGATGCTCATGTAGTCTCGGAGCATGAGTTCTCTGTTCTGTGAGGGATGCTGAGCTGGGCCGCTGGTGGTGACTGAAGACTCAGCTTTTTGAGGAACTTCACCACTTGCTTTTGAAATCTAAATTTGCATAACAGCTTTATGTTGAAAATAGATGTGTAGGCGCACACAGTTGGTCTCAGCTGGGGAGAAAGGCAAGTGCAGACACTGTGCCTGGGTCAAAGTCAAACTGATATGGAGAGAGAACAAGGCCCCGGTGAGCCCTAGAGAAGCTCTGGAGCTGCCAGGGCTCAGGGCGAGCTCTGCGGCTCTCCCGTGACAGAAGCACCACTTAGCAAAAGAGTTCATGCCTCATCTCCCTGTTCTTCCCTGCAGATGGGGTGGGGTGACCTGGGCGTGTATGGAGAGCCTTCCAGAGAAACCCCAAATTTGGACCGGATGGCTGCAGAAGGGATGCTTTTCCCAAACTTCTATTCTGCAAACCCATTGTGTTCACCATGTAAGTTGCTGCTGGCACTCAGAGACGAGGTTGGCCAGCAGGGCCCAGCACATCTGCCCCTCCACCTCTGCTCTGGGCAGCGCAGCCTTTTCCCAATGCCAAGAAGATGGCAGGTGGAATAAGGCCTTTGTCACTGATCATGCTGGCCCTTGGCCCTGAGCCCTCTGACTGCTGTGGGTTTGGAGCCTGCCCTAGCAACTGCTGTCTGCGTCCTAACCAGACACATGTACGACAGCAAGAAGGGATCACCACCCCCCTGGGGGAGGGCTGCTGTCTGTCTTCCAGCATGGAGCAGCCATACTACCCCAGAGTGCTGTCTGGGGAACTTTTCCTGGTCACAAGACATGGGGCACGGTGGGGAGCCAGTGAGGCCATGCCCTTCTCCCAGGGACAGTCACTCCTCTTGGTGCTTGCAGAAGTGCTAACAGAAGAGCAGCAGGTGGGGTGTGGGATCAGGCTGTGTGGGCCTGCAGTCTGGTGGCTGTCCCAGAGTTTACAGATCTGAGCATAGGAACAGAGATGAGAAGCAGAGCCCACTGGACACACCTCTGTGCATTAGTGGGACACTGTGTCCACCTACCCTTACAATGCAGAGGCCAGAAGGTACTGAAGCCTGACAGTTCAGTGTCAGCCTGACACATGTACGACAGGCACATCGTGGGAACTGTGCACATGGGAGGTACATGAGAGCTGGCTGAGGGTCCTACCAGATTTGTCTGAGTGTCTGTTTTTATCCTTCTCTGCAGCCAGGGCAGCTCTGCTCACAGGACGGCTGCCCATCCGCAATGGCTTCTACACATCCAATGCACATGCAAGGAATGGTATGTCCCCAAGCCCTGCAGGGACACCTTGCCTATACTGGGGAAGGCTGGTGTCCTAGGCCCTAGTGCAAGAGACTTGAGGCCCAGAAAGGACACAGCAGAGAAAGGTGTGAGATGGCCACTCGGGGCCTCAGTTCTGCAGAGCAGCACTCACTGCCCAGGGCCAGATGCTTGACTTCTGTTCTAAGGTTACTTGAAAACATATCACAGCATTTCCACTAAAAAGAGCAGGTTAGGCAAATAGAGGAGCCAAGGCTGGGACATCCCAGGTACCCCACTCAGCATCCTCCACTACCCCTGCCCTGCTCCTGGGGCACTGCCCAACATGGCTCCCATTCTACTAGGGAAGCTAGGTAGTTTCAGGTCAGAGCAGGGAATGTTCTGGAAACAAGCTTAAGAGCTTGGATTGGTTTTCTAGAGGTAGACTCCCAGATGAGATGGGATTTCAAGTGGCCCTGAAGAAAGGGAATACAGGAAGGGCCAGAGTCTCAACCTGGGGGGAACAGCATGGTGTCAAATGACAGCGCAGGCTGGGGAGCTGAGGGGTGGGAGACTGCCAAGGCACCCTAACCACAGTTCTGCCTGTCTACTCCAATGGACCAACATGTGTGTCCATCACGGAGGTCTGATACGTCTGGGATGCCAGCTCATGCGATGTTGCTCTTCCAGCATACACACCTCAGGAGATTATGGGTGGCATTCCTGACTCAGAACACCTCCTGCCTGAGCTCCTGAAGAAGGCTGGCTACACCAACAAGATCGTGGGCAAGTGGTGAGTCCAGGACCTGCCCCTGGGAAACGTGTTTTAAAATACTAAGCAGAGCCGGGTGTGGTGGTGCACGCCTTTATTCCCAGCACTCTGGGAGGCAGAGGCAGGTGGATCTCTGTGAGTTCAAGGCCATCCTGGTCTACATAGTGAGTTCCAGGGCAGCTGGGGCTACAGGGAAACCATGTCTCAAAAATCGCCCCCCAAAAAAAATACTAAGCAGAATTTATCTCACCTTCAAGGTGGCTCCACACAATGAAATCAAAGAAATAAATGCATATTCAGATGTAAAATAAAGACGTTGCATAATATATCCTACATATTCATAAAAATTTCAGTGACTGATCATCTAAGAATTGAATTACCCAGTTCTCTGTTAAGTTTGCCAATATATAGGAAACATTAAAACTTTAATTTGACATCACAGTAGACAACTCTGTCCCCACACTTACATTTTAAACTGACAAAACCTATACAAAAAAATACCCAATATCTTATCACTGAAACAGTAATCTTCAGAGACATTATCATCTAGATCCCCCTCTTCCTCTCCCATGACCACATCCTCTCCTCTGCCTCAGCCTCAACCTCTTCCTGCGTCCCTTTTCTTAGATTTCACCTTAGTTTCAGTATCCACAAGTAGCATATCAGAGGTAAGGTGTCTGGTAGAATAAGACATTTAATGCTGGGGTTGGAGAGATGACTCAGCAGTTAAGAACACTGGTTGTTCTTGCAGAAGACCTGGGCTCGAATCCTAGCACCCACATGGCAGCTAACAACTATCCGTAACTCCAGCTCCAGGGGATCTGACAGCTTCTTCTGTCCTCTGTGGGCATTGCACAACATGGGTACGCTTACCTACACGCAGGCAATACACACATATACATAAAATAAAAATAATTTTAAAAAACATTTACACTTGGGAGGCAGAGGCCAGTGGATCTCTGTGAGTTCAAGGCCATACTGGTCTCCATAGCAAGTTCCAGGCCAGCTGGGGCTGCAGTGAGACCTTGTCTCAAAAAGACCAAAAAAAAACCAAAAAACATTTTTCAAATATTTAATGTTCCCAACTGGATGGATCTCTTTTCTTCAGGGTCATTTTCACAGCTTTAAGGTGTGCATTCACACTGACCCTCTACACCTTTGATTGTTCCACAGACGTGTGTTCTATTCTTCCAATCAGTGCTTACAGTTTCATGATTCAATTTCATAAAAAATCTCACAAGATTCATCCTAGTAGCCCTGTGTTCCTTCTGGTCCAATTGCCTACAGAATCCAGCCACTGAGGACTGACAGACTAGGAGTATGAATGACTGGAAGAGTGGGTGGAAGCCTGCAGAGCAAATTTTTTGTTTTTTGAGACAGGGTCTCACTATGTAGCCCAGGCTGATTTGGGGTTCATGATCCTCCTGCCTCAGCCTCCCAAGTATTGGGATAGGTGTGAACCAGCATGCCTTGCTTCTACATGGAGCTAGCTTTTAAGAGTTGGTATTTAAGTGGGCCCGGTGGCACGTGCCTTTAACCCCAGCACTTGGGAGGCAGAGGCAGGCAGATCTTTTTGAGTTCAAGGCCAACTGGAGCGATAGGGAGACCCTGTCTCAAAAGACGAAAAAAAAAAAAAAGAGTTGGTATTTAAAGACAGGATCTCAGATCCAGCAGAGCTGCTTCAGTGACACACAGGGCTAGCACATTGGGTTGTCACTATCTTAGCCCCCTGCTCCTTCCTACCATGCTTTTGGCCAGCTGTGCCCCTAGCCATCCCTGCAGCCACTAAATGACAAGCCACCTTGCCAGACAGCAGAAGGCTTCCATCTGGTGGCAACAACTCTATTGTAAACCACAAAGAAGCAGCTAGGTAGAACCAGAGGGGCGGCAGCAGCCTTGAGTCTGTAGGATGGAACAGTAACTGTGATAGCTGCTCCTGTTGCTACATTATCATTATTGCTGGTTTCCAGCAGAGACGTATCCGTCTCCTTCACCTGTGAGAAGGTGGCACAGGATGCCTCCTGCCTGATGAAGCGCTCCCCAGCCTGCCACCCAGCAGGCCCCTTCCTTCAGGAAGGCTTCCTGCATTTTCTGTCCTCTGAGTGTGCCTCTGTCCTGAGGCACACTGAGCAGATGGGCCAGTGGTGGAGCTACCACAGGCTGGGGGCAGATCCGCAGCTGCTCTTCTGCAAGCAGGGTCTCAGAGTAGTGCTGCTGGCTGAACATGGTCTGTCCTATGTCCTTCACCCAGACCTCAGCACTGAGGATCTAGATTTCACCTGCCTGACCAAGTCCTGGATAGACAGACTCCTGCAACTAGACTGCATAGTCTGCTGGAAGCCACATGGAGTTGAGTGAGGTTGGAATGCAAATCTCAGAGCACCAGCACACCTGCTGGTCAATGCCAGCACAGCTGGAGCCAAGTGTGTGAACTGCAGCTGCATCCAGGCAGGACCTTGGTCATGCTTCTCCTACACAGAGGCTTCGTGCTGCTGAACATGGATACAAGGACCTGTGGCTGCAGTGTTCAGAAAAGACAGGTATCAGGCAGTGGGCCTGAGAGCATGCATGACACAGAGGCCAAAGCACAGACTGGCTGCTTAAGGGTCTGTGGTATCACTGTACCTTGCAGGTGCAGTGGCCCTTAAAGGAGAGACATGGAGTGTGTGAAGGCCAGAGAACAGCTCTAAAAGTTCAGTGTGTATCTGTAGGTGCAAGTAGGCCGAGCACTACAGAGCCAGCCACATTGCCAATCTCCTCCCTGCAACTGATGTAACTGAGTGTCAGACAGATTATTTCCTTGAAGAGCAGATAAAGCAGTTTCTGGTCATTGATTCATTCCTCCAGACTTCCTCACTGCCCCTTGATCCTACCCATGAAGTGAGCACGTGGTGACCTTGGATCTGCATACTCTGGGCCACAGTGAGTGGTCAGAGCCTCCCTGAAGCCCTCCTTCCACTATAGCTTTTCCCAAGTACAAGTGGAAAAAGGGTGCTCACCCTAGGAGTGCTGTGTTGGAAGCTGTGCCTACAAAAGGCTTTCTGCAGGTGTTTGTCCCAGGCTGGATCAGCATGGCACCCGTGGCAGTGATTCAGAGCCAGCACTGGAAACTACCTTGAGTATGTGCTCTGAAGAGCAGGTGAGAGCTGGAGTCTCCAGGAAGGATAGGCCCTGCGCCAAGGACACCTCAAGACTGCTGGCCTACTGATGCTGAGATTTGGAGTCGGGTCCTGGCACCTCCCAGCAGCCTTCTTGTGGCGGCTAGTAGGAGGGCATGAGATTAGGTGGCCCCAAAAGAGAAAGAGGTGGGGCTAGAAAGCATGGAGTGGTATTTAGCATGGAGTGGGAGTGGAAGAGGATAGGGCCTTGCAGGGTCTCCCAAAGTCTCACTTGAGGACCACTGCCCTGTGGACCCTTCTCACTTCAACAAATGAACCTCGGTCTCCAAATAGTTTGCACCGTCATCAGAATGGGTACACGGCCATGTTTCTTTGTGTTCACTCCAACATCCCCAGCACCCAGGGCAGGAGGACACCCAGCCCTGAGCTGCTGTCTCATCTTCCCTGCTGGCCACCTTCCTAGCAATGGGAAACTATTCTGACTTTCATCCTGATGGAGCAGTGACCTACCTGGCTAGAAACTCAAGGCAGAAACACAACCCTCGTAGTGTTCCTAGGCTAAAGAATGGCAGGATGAATCGACTGCAGCCTGGGGATGGCTGAAATGGGCATTTGAGTCTAGAAGGTTTATAAGGCATTTGGGAGATTTCTCACCATGCACCATCCTTAGGGTTTCCTCCCAGAATTCTGCAGGACCCCCCCACCCCCGCCCTTCTCTTCATCTCAGTATGCTTGGATGCTGTCAGCTGTACTGAGATACCCTTAGCTGTGCCTGGACACTGCCAGCTGTGCCTGGGCACACCCAGCTTCATCAGGACAGTCTCACTTGTGCTTGGATGCCCTCAGCCATGCTGGAGGTCATTGGTTATGGCCACAGCTCTGGGTATAATGTGGCCAGTGCGATCTGGAGAGGGCAGATGGGTTCCAGAACTCCCTGTTGGGATGAAGTCTTGGTCTTTTGTGTCTTCTTATGCCCAGGGCTTGGCACATGGGTTGCTGATGGGCTGCTTTACATGTTTAACCATTGTGAAAATGATGGATCGTTGCTGCTCAGAACATCAGAATGTCCCAGCAGGGGTCTCTGAAGTGTCTTGGTTCCTGTTTCTAGGCATCTGGGTCACAGGCCCCAGTTCCACCCCCTGAAACACGGATTTGATGAGTGGTTTGGATCCCCCAACTGTCACTTTGGACCTTACGACAACAGGGCCAAGCCCAATATCCCTGTGTACAGGGACTGGGAGATGGTCGGCAGGTAACAGACAACCACTTTCCTCCCTCCTGCCCCATCTCTCCTGACAACTGACCCTCACTCCTACCCTTTGCCTCTGTGCTGCCTGAGAACAGGGTGGATATTCTTGAACCACCTGCTGGATGGTCAACCTCAAGTCTTTGGGCTGAGAGGAGACCTCTGCATCCCTGAAAGTTTTGCCCAGGGCCACTTGAGATTTGCCTGGGGGCACTTCTGACCTTCCCAGGGTCATAGAGCCCTATCAGACATACTCAGAGGCCCTCACGAGATGTGCTCACCGCTGTGCATTCTTTGAGGGGTCATCTAGGACCTGGACCATGCAGCCTGCTGGTGGGGTGTCTTGTCTACAAGCACCAAGTTGGCCTGTCAGCTGTACAATAAGAGATGATAGGACTAAATTAATACGAGAGC